ACTGGCATCACAGGTTGGCTGACTTTCTCCTTTCTTATCGCACCACACCGTCCACTTCTACAGGGAGAAGTCCAGCTGAACTTCGTTGGGGGCGCCAACTTACTACTAGACTTGACCGGTTGCATCCGGACAGACTGCCTTCTTCTACCTCACATCCTAGGGCACCTAGACAACTACTTGTGGGTGCCCCGGTTTGGGCTCGCAATTACGGGCCTGGTCATACATGGGTCCCCGCTTCTGTGTCCAGGATCACAGGTCCTCTCTCCTACGAGGTTGCCCTGGACAACGGTCGTGTCCTGCGTCGGCACATCGACCAACTTCGCTCTAGGCGAGACTTTTCTGCTGAGACTCCTGGGTCTTTTCCAGGGGGGGAGGGGGACCCTTTGGAGCAAAGGGAAGGGCAAGAGCTGCTGCCCATCTCCACTGAGGGAGCCACAAACGGCCCATCCCAGGGTTCCGCGAGAGCTCCGAACAAGAATTCCATGAGCTTACCTAACTACCAGGCATCCACGCCTACTCCAGCCAGGGAGTCACCCCGGGGGCATACTCACGTTCCACACACGTCACACAGCACTCCAGTCACGGAGGATACCCGGGGGCATCCCAACAAATCATTCCCCGCAAGAGAGCTGGCACACAATCCCCAAAGTTGGCCTGACCTTACCCCAAATCCTACAGGGGGTCAAACATACACAGAGCTAGTCGAGGAACCAAGTCCCGACTACAACAACCCTAGCACAAATCAGGGAACACCTGAGTTTTGGGAAAGTACAGAAACCCACACGAGCCCGAGCACAGAATGGGGTTCAGGGAATGGACAGCCTCCTGACAGGTCTTGGACTGACCTAGGAGGTTCTACAGAGACGCCCAGCAGCGGCTATCACTTCAAGGGGCCTGAGGGTCTACAGCTAGGTAGGTCAACCAGGTCACAAAGCAACAGAAGCCCTGGCCTGACGAGCCCGGTGGGCAAGCAAGCAGGCCAGGCATCGGGGCACAGTCCTTGGAAGACACCAGGGCACAATAGAGAGAACAGGCTCACGCCTCCCTCCAGTCAGGGGACTTATGCCAGTAACCCACAGCTAAGAAGGTCACAGAGAGCAAAGAAATCTCCTAAGTACCTAGAAGACTACATAACATTGCTGGCAAGGCAAAGGCCAGTAAACAGTGGGAGCACTGGGGAGCAAAATGTCATATAAAATAAATGTTGTATGTTGGTAGTAGTTTTAGCCCGGGGGAAAGGGGTGTTATGTCCCGAGCCTTTGCAAACGGCTCGGGCGTTTGCAGGCAGTCCCGGGCAGGTGCAAAGCTGCCCGGGACCAGACAGGCTGTCGCCAGCGCCGTGCGCATGCGCGGGTGCTGGCGCGGGAAAAGTAACCCATTTACCCGGGAGTTGCCTATATAAGAGGCTGCGAGGCGTTTGGGCGAGGCTGAAGCCATCTTCCTGTAAGCTGAACGCTGAATAAAAGAAACTGAGAACTCCAGCTGCTTCTCGTGTCTGTTTTCCCGCCAAGGACGCAACAAATACTGTACATGTACATTCACATAGGATTTACACTATGACTCTTGGTGGGATATTTCATAGATTTTTCAGTGCCGGTGTGTCATTTTCACATCAAATTTGAAAAAGAGAGATGTAATCATGTTCTCCCTGATCAAGAGAACCAGAAAAACCAATGGTTTCCAGGATACACGCCTTGTCTCATGAGATAATCCAAGACATACTTTTCAATCGTTAGGAGATCTTTTATAGCAATGCTGATTTACCATTTAACCATTAAGCTTCCATTTTCAGACAAACATCAGATCTGAAAAAGAATTGTGTAATAATATGATTCATGTTTTCCCTGGCCAGGAGAGTCACAAAAACTCTCAAATTTGAAAAAGAATCACAAAATAATATTTTTCACTGGCCAGGAGTGCCAGAAAAAACAGTCATTTTAAAGATCCACTCTACCTCTGAAGAGGCAGTACAAGCCTAAGTTGCAATTACTAGGCAGCCCATTATAGAGAATACCGACTTCCCATTTAGTGAATAACCTTCTCATTTCAGACAAACATCAAATTTGAAAAAGAATCACATAATCATGTTGTCCTTGGCAAAGAGAGCCAGGAAAAACACTTTGTTTTGGGATCTGAAGAGAGAATCCAAGGCATAATCTGCAATTTTTAGGAGGCCCATTACAGCGAATGCTAAATTCCCATTTAGCCACTAAGCTTCCCTTTTCAGATAAACATCAAATTTGAAAAAGAGAGACGTAATCATGTTCTCCATTGTCAGGAAGAACTGAAAAACCAATTGTTTCCTGGATCAGTACATTCTCTCAGGATACAGTCCAAGGCATAATTTTCAGTTAGGAGCCCCTTTGAAACAATGCTGAATATCCATTTATCCATTAAACTTCCATTTTCAAATTTGAAAAAATCACAAAATCACATTTTTCCTGGACAGGAGAGTCAGGAAAACCAGTTATTTTCAAGATCCGCTTTACCTCAGAGGAGATGTAGTGCAAGGCCTACATTCAAATTACTAGGAAGCCTATTATAGAGAATACCGATACTATTCAGCCACTAAGCTTCCCTTTTTAGACAAACAAATTTGAAAAAGAGATATTGTAAGGTCACTGGCCCTTGGCAAAACCTGAGAAACCATAAAAATCCAATCATGAAAACTCAAGCAGAGGCTTCTTAAAGGTACAGCACTTTTATTTCGATCGAATTAAGTCCTGGGTGGGAACACAATCTGAACACTGGCAGCAGTTGTATTCAGAAGTGCCACGCCTCAGAAAGTTAGTAGCATTGCTTTATAAACTTCGTTAGCCAATAAAAATCAGACAACAGTTATTACAAATAAGACATCGATCATTCCTGTATACTCCCTTATTCCTTCCTTCAGTACATCCCATTTGTGTACATGTTTCCCATGCTTGCATGAAATTGGTCCCTGACTCAAACGCTGATAACAGAAGCGAAATAGCAATAGTTAGGCAAGGCTACACAATTTGTTTCTGTTTCTAGTTCCAGTTACAGAACCCCTACAGAAAAACCAGGATCATTACCGCCCCTCACACCCTCGCCCGCAGCAACCCCGCCGCCCCTGCCTCTTGCACCCGCAGCCATTATTTCCCTAGCAGGGCCGAAGATCAAGAGAAAGTTACCGTGGCGTCACCGTTCCAGTCTCTCCAGGTATCTTCTGGACTAACTAGGAGATAGTGTAGTTGGGTAGCAGGGAGGGGTGCAAAGTTCCTGCCAATTCGCCTTAGCTGCAGACAACTTACATGTGCAAAGTTTGCCGGCCGGGTATTGGCTTTCGAAAGCCAATAGGGGGAGTAGCACAGATCATGCAAAAGTTGAAAAAAAAACCATCAAAAAAAGGTGCCGGAACGCCGTTTTGAGCATTCTATGAGAAAAAAAAGCCCTGCAGATTAGTCTTCAAATATCGAAAAGGAGGACATATAGGAGGACACTTTTCGAGGGAGGACAGAACTTACAAAAAGAGGACTGTCCTCCCTAAAGGAGGACTGTTGGTCACCTTACTTATGTGGATTTAGTATCCTTTCAAAGTTACAACAGCATTGAAAAAAGTGATTTATTACTGTTTTTCACACTTACAACTGTTGCAGCATCATGGTCATGTGATCAATATTCAGATGCTTGGCAATTGACTCATATTTATGCAGTTGCAGTGGCCTGGGGTCACGTGATCATCATTTGCAATCTTCTGATCACCAATGTCAATGAGGAAGCCAGATTTATTTAACAACCATATTGTTCACTTAACCACATTTAGTTGACTTCCTGTTTTGATTGCAGTATTAGTTTTCATTTTAGAATTAAAGTACTTTTGTCATAAGACATCAATACATCAAACTTCCCTGGTTTTCAAAACTGCATTTTTCTTCTTCTCTGACCACAAGGTGGCTCTACAGCATAAAAAATAACTATGAATTGTGCAATGTTGCATAACAAAGCTAACCTTAATTTTAGAATACTGAATACATGAACATTTCTTTATCAGATAAAATTAGAGTTTTGTTTATATAGCGTTCTCATACAAGATTGTATGATGTATTTTATGTTCTACAATAAATATGTATAATTCTGCATTAAACTTTTCTTTGTTTTTGAAAAAAAAACAGGAAAGCAAAGACCTTTCCATGATAGAAGGATCCAACAAGATGCTTCATCTTCTTCAAAATTATTATTATTAATCTTCTCAAGATTATTATTTGTTTGTATGATAGCTGTGTATTAGATGCCTATATCTTTCTTCTAAAATTGTTGGTGGGAGTACATTGAACCATGCCAAATTAGGACCCTCATAAATTTAGAGACAGTGATTTTATTTAAATATTTGCAGATCCAGAAGTGATGTCAAGGTTTGTTGGAAATGCATCAGTTTGACTAAATACCAATATTCTGGTATACTGCTGTGACTTCCACTGTGTGTATGTTAGATAAATCCGGACCCAACATATTAAGAGTTCAGTAGGAAGAAGCAAATCTAAACTGAGCACTTTCTCTAAGGTTAATATTCCACTTTAACAGGTCAGGACTTATGCTAATTCATTTCCAGGGACCAAACTCTTCTTTAGATGAAAAGTTTCAAAAACGTATAGTTTAAAATGTTAGCGTATTTATCTCTTTCAGTGTGATAATGAATTTGAAAGTCCAATAAGAAAGGACAAAGGCTTTTACCAATGAAGTAGTCTGACACAGGTCCAAGGGGAAAATTGCGTGGGATTGTCCCTGCTTATCGCCCCATTCAGTGGAGAAAAGTCTAGCAGGTCGAGGATTTAAATCATGTATGAAGTCTATAAAGAACACTAGGAACTCGCTAATACTAACTTCGGGTTCTCTAAAGCTGCTTCGTAAAAGTTATTGAAAGACTCTTGTTCTCCTCCGTCCCTTCAACTTCGGAAACGAGTCCGTCCGCCTGGTTATAATCTGTTCCGGCTTTTGCAGCCGCCTCTCTGTTTCAAGGGTTGCTAAGCGACACACAGCGTTTTAAGGGTTGCTAAGCGACACACAGCGGCTGCCCGCGGCCTTCTACGCCGCCTCAACAGCCGGGCGACGACGCCAGGGAGGGAATCGCGCGCGGGAGTCAGCCGCTTCAGGGCTTCGGCCCCGCCCTTTCGTAGCAGCTTCGCACCGTTGACAAGCAAATGTTGAGAGGAGCCAAAATAGAAAAGTGAATAATTCGCTTCAGTATACCTGAAAACAGGAGGGGTCCGTTGAAAATAACTCTCCTGGAAACCACGCGCCTTTGATTGCAACTTGTAAAACGTAAGAGATATTTGGATTTAAAGCTTGAGTCTCTCTATATTTATTGGTAAATTGATTTTTTTTTTTGTTTATATGTTCTGTGATACCAAAGTATGAGTCTGCATGCATGAGACTCGCCGTCCTGTTTTTTGGCCCGGCCATAACACCCATGAACTTGAGGTGCAAATCCTCTATGATTTGCATGGCTTATCCTTGGGATCCAGGATATTACAGATTACCCTGGGTGCCTTTATTGGAGCACAGTCACAGAACTTTTGTTTTGGTGCTGCTGTTGTGCAAAATCAAGAAGAAGAGATCTAAAGAGAGTACAGGTAGTCCTTAACTTAACAACAGTTCATTTAGTGACTGTTCAAACTTACAACAGCATTGAAAAAAGTGACTTATGACTGTTTTCCACACTTAGACTGTTGCAGCATCCCCATGGTAGTGTGATTAAATTTCAGACATTTGGCAACTGACTCACATTTATGATGATCACAGTGTCCTGGGACAGTGTTCTGACAAGTAAAGTCAATGGAGAAATCGGATTCACTTAACAACCGTGTTATTAACTTAAGAACTGCAGTGATTCACCTAATTTTGGCAAGAAATGTTGTAAAATGGGGCAAAACTCACTTAACAAATGTCTCACTTAACAGAAATTTTGAACTCAATTGTGGTCCTAAGTCGAGGACTACCTGCCTCCTCCCCAGTTCATAGAAATGGGGAGGGAAGCACATGCAGACTTGCAAGATTCTGTTACTATAGCTGTCACAATAAACATAGTCCTAGCTTAGATATCATTGTAAGGCTAACTTGTAGGGCTGGCAGATGTACAGCTTTAATATTCCCTTAAAATATGCTGCTTATAAACCGATAAGAGGTTTAAGAGCTTAGAGGATTAGAACAATGAATGGTGTAGTGAGTAGAAAATTCAGCAGTGATTACTTAATATGACAAAGAGATGGCAAGGAGATTAGAACTGTGGGTTAACTATGCAGGATTCCAAATTGTTAAATATATTTATCTTTGTGTACTGTAGAAATAGAGGCTGCAGGAGATTTACAGTTTTTAAAAACAACTTTGCTCCAGACACCTTCATGTAAATAATTACGATACAAGGGGAACCAAAGTCATTTATAGGAAGCTGGCCGCTGGATTAGAAAGTAGTCTAGCTCATCACTTTCTGAACCCTACTTTCTGAGAAACTGTCAGAACACAATCTTCTCTAGCACTGTTTTTTAAAATAAAATATTAATGAAATCTTTCCAGTCTAGTGTAGTCTAAGACTGTACTGCTTTGAAAGTGACTTAAAAGAGAATACTCTTTTATATCCTTATAGTTTTTTATATCCCTGTTTGTGCATTAAGATGTAGGGTATAGTTTTGATTTCATAGCACCTTTGGTTAAATGTGATACATATTGCTAATTTATTTGTGCCATGCTAATACCAAAAATATTCAAATCCCTTACTTTTGTGGCTGGTTCCATGGTGAATGCCAGCTAAATGGCAGACAGTTAATACTTCTGAATTAACTATTGCCCCAGTAGTCAAGGGTTCCTTCCTATTAAGAATGAAAAATCTTACAGTATTCGCTCTGAAGAGCAGTTATAGTTCAAAAGCAAACAAATATATGAATGAATTTGCTCATCTGACAAATTAATTCTGGAGGTTTCAGGTATACCAATATTTATATCTGTATTAGGAGACAATCTGATCAAGCAAAATTATATTATTTCAGTAATGATTATATGCTTAAAATTAAATTATAACTGACGAAATGTAGACACTTAATGATTCTAGGTTTGTGCAGAATGAAGATGGCTGGCCCATTGGGACACATTGAAATAATAATTCAGCAGCTTAACAAATTCCATCCTGAAAATGAGAACGTTGGGCATTTCTTGAATGAATCAGCTAAAGTATTACAGGTATGAGATGTAATTTGAAGCTTTTAGAAAATGCACATTTAAAATATGTATTATTTAAAATACTATATATATATATATTATCTCCACTACCTAGTTCTTTTTATTTCTCATTTGTTCCTAATTATCTAGTTTTAAACTAATTTTCTAACCAATTAAGACTGTCTAAAGTAGTCTTAGGTTTTTTTTTGTTTTTTTTATTATTTCTTCAGTGGTAAGAAAGAAAAAGATGACTTGAATGAATTCTGGACATCTAAATTCCCTAAAACAATTAAAATTTGATAAACCTGTATCTGGACCTAACTCTGTGCTAGTAGATAGAGAAGTTTCATTTATTGTAAATAACCAATTCCTGCCTAGGCATCTAGTCTAGGAATCTAGTCTAGGAATCAGAATCAGAATTAGAAACAGATTTTTTTAAAAAAAGAACCCAAGATATGCTGCTTCTCTTCCATTATAGGAGAACTTCTCTGTACAGGTAATCCTTGACTTAGGACTCCAGTTGAGCCCAAAATTTGTGTTGATAAGTGAGACAGTTGTTAAATGAATTTTGCCCCATTTTATGATCTTTCTTGCCACAGTTATTAAGTGAATCACTGCAGTTGTTGTTAATAGTGTGGTTGTTAAATAAATCTGACTTCAGCATTAACTTTGCTTATCAGAAGGTCACAAAAGGTGATCACATGACTCTGGGACATCACAACCGTCATAAATATGAGTCAGTTGCCAAGCTGCTGAATTTTTATCACGTAACCATAGGGATGCTGCAATGGTCGTAAGTGTGAAAAACAGTCATAAGTCACTTTTTCCAGTGCCCTTGTAACTTTGAATGGTCACTAAATGAACTGCCAGAGAGAAGTTCCCTGAGGATGGGCTCCAGCACGACTCGGAAAGCTCAGAAGACAAAACCTCTGATCCCGGAGACTGACCCAGATTGAATCCTACAACGTTATCCTGGGACACGCATATTTGCCTTCATTAGACTAAATGAACTGTTGTAGGTTGAGGACTACCTGTATGTCATCTAATTCCTCCTTTATAGGACCTTTTCAGACATTGGTGAATCAATCCTTTTAATGTCTGATAAGAGATCCTTAATACTTCTGTAAATACTGTAAGTAACATTAATGACAAATTGTTATGTATTTCATTGGCTATTGAATTATACTCCATGGATAGAAAATTCCCGGGAATCACTCTTGTGAGTCAGGCTTCTTAATATAATGCTATTTCTTACAAGCAACTCAAGTTATATTTGTCATTCTGAATAATGGCATATTCTGAAATGGGATTCGTATTAAAAAAAAGTAATTATGGGTAGTTCTCCTATAATGATCATTCTTCAGCAAAGTTGCTGCAGCACTGAATAAATGAATGGTAGTTACACCCAGTTCTTGAAATTATAGCTGTTGCAGTTACGTGATTCAAATACGGGTGCTTGGCAGCCCATCTGCACTTACAACCACAGGGTGTTTCAACTCTTCCTCCTATCTCCCTGTAGCTCTACCTGCACTCTGCTGTCCTAGACTCCACTTAGCCCTTCTGTCCTGTACTGCGCTTACTCTGCTGGCCCCAGCTGACTTTACTATTTATTCTACCCACTACTGACTACCTTTATTTCCTTGACTTTGCTGTGGCATATTCTGGTCTCCCAAGTGGATTTGGTAGATATGGATTAATTCCTAAGTCTTAGGGACATTTGTAGGATTTAAAGTTTCATTCCTTTTCATTTCCACTTATGCTAATCATCCCTTCAGATTTAGTAGTTAACTTCCCTTTTTTTCGCAATAAATTTTATTCAGAAAGTTAAATTACATAATAATTTATGTAAAATAAAAATTGTTACAAAAAAATTAGAGATAACATTAAAAGAAAAAAATGTGTATTAGAAAAGACAAAGAACAAAAACACATACTGTATACATTGTCCCTGCCATTGAATATTGATTAATATATTGCCACAATGATAGCTTCCCCCCCCTTACAAAGCAGGCCCAGAATTTATAAACTTTATCTATTTGCAATCAGTTTGATGTGTGATTTATCAAATATGTATGTATGTTTGTGTGTTTGTATGTGTGTAGTTAACAGTAAACCAGCAGCAAAATTAAACTTCAGTTTATTTTTTTTAAACATTTAGTTTTTCCCCTAGAACAGTGGTTCTCAACCTTTTTAATGCCGCGACCCCCAACTGGTCGTAAGTCGAGGACTACTCAACTGGTGCAGCACCGTTTGCAGAATGGGACTTTTGGTGGGCTCAGCAGGGCAGAGACAGCCTGAACAATTCCTATTGGCTTTTGAAAGCCAATAGAATTAGACTCTATTCAAGAAAGTCTATTCTATTGGCTTTCAAAAGCCAATAGAATAAAAGGAAGTAGCACAGCTAAGGAAAAGGGGAAAAAAATGGCGGACTGTGTTGTTTGGAGACCCCCGTGAAATGGTCGTTCGACCCCAAATGGGGTCCCGACCCACAGGTTGAGAACCACTGTCCTAGAAGACGCCTGGCAACAGACAACATTTAGAACACAATTTTTTGTTCTAGAAAGTTCACTTGGAATGATTGAATTGATAGTTTCCAGGAGAAAACAAGAATGTTCTGAATCAGGATATGGAGTTTTACACATAATTATTCAGTGTGATGCATTCTTTTCTGCATATTACATTCTTATACAGATTTTATTAAATATTATCTGGGGAATCTGCTATTGCATACTGAGACATATTTAAAATCCAATTATTACATGAATTTTGAGTCAGTGATTAATTCTTCAATCCAGTTAGATCTGATTTTTCCTGGACCAGCTATCACACAATTCTTTTACTTTACATGTTGCTTGGATTAATTCATGGTGGATAATTACGCTTTGTACTTTTTGTACTACTTAAAATGTATACTAATACGTTTTGGTTATACCTTTTGGACAATAGTAGCTAATATTACTACCATTATTTTACATTATATGATGACATTTATTTACATATATTAAGTTTTTGTTTTTATATTTAAATTAATTCTGTTTCTTTAGATTTTCAAAGTAACAGATGAAATCCCTGTACCTGTAATGGATATCCTGTGTGGCTGTTTAGAATATAAAACTATATTGGATGTGGTAGTCAATGCATTTTATATCCAAGATGGTAAACATTGCCTATTATCTGAGCGTAACATGTATATTGGTAAGTATTCCTTTATAGAGAGAGAATATAATAATGCTAAGAAAATTTGTCCAAACTAAAATAAGCAGTGTCCTGAAGATACCAATTTGTTTTTAATTTCCCTTGGTACTTGCTGTAAAATTAATTAGACTAATAGCCTTCCAACCTACGATTCTATGTTCTAGTAACTGTGGATGTTATTCTATGACCCTACTCACCATTTTCTATCAGTTGTTGGCACATTTATCTTCAAAGCTGGTAGATGTTTCAGCACAGGGCTGCCCAGTGAGTTTTGTCATCAGTTGCAGCTTCTAGTTTTCTTGGCTGGATTTCACACTGGGCTTTCACAATTTTTTTGTAATGCTTATGTGGTCAACCTCAAGGTCTCTTTCCAGATTTCAGCACATTACAGAATAACTGACAAGGCAAATGGCAGTCATGCATTCTGATGATGTGGCTCATCCATTTTATCTGGGACTGCTGGTGGACTCTACATGATCAAAGACCTCCAGATTAGAGACACTGTCTTGCCAATGAATTCCAAGGATGGAGCAGAGAGTGTTCATGCGAAATTTCTCCAGTTGTCTGATGTGCCTTAAGGGCAGAGTGCAGGACTTACATCCATATAAGAGGGGAAGGACAATGACAGCTCTGTAGACTTAGTTTTGTGGAGATATGGATGTTGTATTGATTGGGCACTGTAGTACGCAGCTGCCCCAGAATCTGGTTGATCTTGCTGATCCTGGAATCAATTTCTTTGTCCAAAGGCCCATTACTCTAGATGATGCTTCCCAAGTATTTGAAGCTGTTTATGTTTGTCATCTGGGTGTTATCAATAGTAATTTTGTTTTGTTCTACAGACTTGGTATTTGGCCAAATAAAGTACTTCAGTTTTGTCCAGGCTGCAGAACACAGCAGCTTCTGAGAATTTGTTCAGCATCAACTATAGTTTGCTGTCTTTGTGCACCAGGAGTGCACAGTACTGTAATCAACAAAAAGGGTTTCTTAAATGACTGCATGGGGGCACTTTGTCTGTGCATTCAAGCCGTGAAGCTCAAGGAGAGAGCTGTCCAATCAGTAAATGATGTACACTCACTCCCTCAGACCTTCAACAGCATGACAACATGTAAGCAAAGAACAGATTGAATAGGATTACAGTTAACATCTCAAGATGATACAAAAAACATTCCTTTTTCAAGTGTCAAATGCCTTTGTCAAGTCAATGAAGACAGAATAAAAAAAATGTTTTGTTTGATGCATGTCTCTTAGATTTGCCTCCTGGCAAATACCTTATCTGTTGTTTTGGTGAAAGCCACATTGCCCTTTGGGAGGTTTCTTTTCCAGACTGACAAGTCTCAGTCTTGTGAGTGACAGGTCTGTTCAGGAGAATGTGGGTGAAGATGGACAACAGTGAGATACCTCTGCAGTTTCCACAGTATGATTTGCTTCCCTTATTTTTATAATGAGCCACAAACGGCATCATGAAAATCATCAGGTATCTCCTCTATGGGCCAAATGTCTTCTGAGATGCCTTTTGCCAACAAAAATATATTGTAGAAATACTGGTGTTTAGAAGATACATTAACAGAACAGAATAACAAAATAACAGAGATGGAAGGGACTTTGGAGATCTTCTAGTCCAACCCCATGCCCAGTCAGGAAACCATATACCATTTTAGACAAATAGTTGTCCAATCTCTTCTTAATTAACTTCTGAATTAACCAGATACCACTGGTTAATTGTTCTAACTGTCAGGAAATTTCTCCTTAGTTCTGCGTTGGCTCTCTATGATCGGTCTGTCTACCTACCTACCTACCTACCAACCAGTAACAGTTGTTATATATATATGTGTGTCAAGTACAATGTGCAATAATGAAAAAAAAATAAGATGTGCAACATATCATAACAACATAAACCATCAGTCTTTTGTATTTGTGCCCCAACACTGGCTATATGAATATTAAGTCATGCACTCTGTGTTATGACATTGTGATGAATTTTATCATTTGCCTCCATTTCCACTTTTGAATACCTGTATTTGGAGAATTGTAAGAAATATTAGTAAGAAATTTTAAGTAGAAATCTTTAATAAGCATAATTATTCACTTTGTCTTGAATATTAATGTATGTGTCTTTTCTAGTTATTTGTTATTTGGCTACTTTTCGACTAGAGGAACTAGGACTTCAGCAGTTCAGGAAAATCATCAAATCAATAGATGCTGCTAAGATATGTAAGGTAATTAAAATATTTGCATTTCATCGGAATTAAATAAAAATAACCCAATATTCTTGGATTTTAAGTTGTATGGAATTTTTTTGAATATTTTAAATAGTGAATGACTGTTCAAAGCTACTACTTTTAGTACTTATCTTGTATTTGCAGTGGACGAGTCTTCGAGTCTTCTGAGAATTTGTTCAGCGTTCCTCATATACTACAAGTTATAAATATACAGTATTCAAAATTTTAAAAAGGCAAGTTACAAAATTAATATATTTAGGACAACACAAGGTTGGCATCCAGTGCTAAATGATGAGGCATGGCTTATAGACTGTGTAAGAGTCTAAGGCAAAGCCAAATCAAATATATTCCTTAGCACCATACATAAAACCACTGTAACTACATTGGAAGAAAATCTAGGTATTGACAACAATTGAAGATTATGCTACTTTATAATGAAGGCATTTTTTATCCACTCAATAAAAAAGAAATAGCAACTACTTTATTTTCATTGTTTAGAATCTTTCAAATAGTTGGACTACAACACACCATGAATAGTTGCCGCTATTAGCCTACTAGATCAAACCCAGATGGCAGAAACAAAATTTGTAGAGGAGAATGGAAATAGATTTGAAGAAAGTGTATAGCCGTTGTTACAAAAACATCAGCTTAAATCAGAAGGGTAAGAGGGGATGAGGTAAAAGCTTCGGATTGGCCCACAGCTACTTTAGGGAAGAGAGGGGAGAAAGAGAAACTGTCAGGCTTTCCAGATTATGTTACTGTAGCTTATATCAACGAACAAGACTTCTAATATTTCTAATAGCGTCTATTTCCTGATCTGGTCTTCATCAAAGGGCAGATAAAATGGAATGTTCCAACTCAGGCTACCATGGGCCCTCAAAATTTTCATTTAAATCTTGGAGGGTCCTTTAATAAAATCTAAAATTCTGAGCTGAAAGAATTACCCTCTCTTATTCTAATTGAAGAAATTGCTTCAAATAGCAGAAACTCATTAAAATCAACTGCATAAAATTCTTTTCCCTTTATTGTTCTAACAAGTTTCAGATTTTTCTCAAGAGAAATTGCTGATTATTCGTTTTTATTGTATTAAAGGCATATTGACTTCTCACATTGAGCCAGATAGAAAGCTGCAAACTGCTTTTTTTAATACTACTTAGGGGGGGGGGGGGTGATAGTTATTTCTTTTGCCAGTTTTTTATTTTTCATCCTGTCACTGCAATTTTTTATAGGAAGATGGGTTAAAGTCTGCACTGAATTCATATGCATTTTTCTGTATATTTTCCTAACAGACATTTCTGTTTGCAATTTTACTTAATGTATCTAATAATCTTTGACTTACGTATTTTTGTACTTCCCATTGCAACATACTGTACCAAGAAATGTATGTTCATGTTCATGTACTTTGATTTTATGTGAAATCAATACTAAAATGCAAGCCAATACAGTTAGTCTCTGGGTTATGACCTTAATTGGGACTGGAATTTATGTTGTTAAGTGAAGCACTTGTTAAGCAAAACATCACGTTACTTTGCTGAGTAGCAACAGCAGTCCTCTCAGTCTTGGTTGGACTGTGTGTTAGGAAAGTATCTCACATTTTCCTGTTCTGAAATCTGATTTGCCTTCCTGCCTGTTCCCTCCTCCCCTTTTGGCTGTTCGGCACTCTGCCATATATCTCTGTTGGCTCCTGCTGACACCACTAGTGGATTTTTTCTGTCTTGTACAGAGTACCAAAAACTCCACATTGTTGAAACTGTTCTGACAAATACTCATGGCAGTCTTCCATATCACAATAGCAACACATCATTTTCTCATTGCAATTTCCCACCATTGCTATTGCTATCTATTAGAAAACTACAACACTGGAGGCATTATATTTCATTCAGTCCTTGTATTTTATTATTATTGTGATGATAAGTACATCCATGGTGTTTCGTAGATCTTTGTACCAGACTGTACACTACACAGTATGCACAATTATTACGCAAGTTGTATTTTGGAGGATTAATTTTCTTTCTACAGTGCTCTCGATCAATCCAAAATGTTAATAAACCTCAAACCTGAATATTTAAGAAAGTAAAAGTGAGGTTTTAGCTTAGGAGAATATCTATGTGTGCACAATTATTGGGCAACTATTAGTGTGCAGAATTATTATGCAACTAAATGAAAACTTGTCCATCTCACTTATTTACTTGCATCTGTTAAAGTGAGAATAATAAAGAAACAACTTAAAATATACAAAAAAACATTTCTGATATTAAAAAAAATCAGTGACCAATATAGCCACCTTTCTTTTCAATAACAGTCTGTCAGTTTCATGATCTTTTGACGTATCAATGTTTTGTGCAGCAGCAACCACAGCCTTCCAGACACTGTTCAAAGAGATGTATTGTTTTCATTCACTGTAAATCTCCCATTTAAGAAAGGCCCACAAGTTCTCAATAGGGTTTTGGTCAGATGAGGAAGGGGGCCATGTCATTATTATTTCATCTTTAAGGCCTTTACTAAACTTGCAATTTTGACTTACTTGTCTTGTTCATTGGTGGTTGGGTTTCAGCCTACCTTATCTTGGCCATGTTTCTGAGCACTGAACACCTTGTACTTCTAGGCACTTCAGGTAGGTTGCAGTTCTGGAATATGACAGCACTGGTGGATAATTGGTTCCTGGTAGCTTCATGCTGGATTCTTCTCAAATCTTGCGTCTTTTTTTCTCAACACGTTTCTTGCGACCCTGTTAACTATTTGCAACAAAACATTTGATGGTTCTGTAATCACGCCTCAATATCTTAGCAGTTTCAACCGTGTTACATCCCTCTGAAATTTTCACAATGTTCGGCTTTTCAGAGTCAGTTAAAACTCTTTTTTGGCCCATTTTGCCTGAGGAAAAGAAGCTGCCTAATAATTATGCATACCTTGATATAGGGTGTTGATCTCCTTAAGCCATACCCTCCTTCGTTACACAAATGCACATCAGCTAACATGCTTATATCCACTAATCGTTGAAGTTTATAAAGCTTGAAGGTGGAAAATATGTATGAAAAGGATGATATGGTCAAAATACTCACTTGCCTATTAATTGTGCACACAATGTATTTTGGAGGTTCTGAAACTCAAGAGCATGGGTGTCAAACTCGCCGCGTCATGTGATATGTTGTGACTTTTTTTTGCATTGCCAGAGCTGGATGGGCGCGGCCTCCATATGATGCAACTGGCCTGCGGGCCAGCAGTTTGACACCCTTGCTCTAGAGCAGGGCTTTTCAACCAGTAGTATGGGTGCCACCTGTGGTACATTGGCACCTGGCAGGTGGTACGCAACCATCCTAGAAAAGTGGTAGCGGGGGAGGGGAATGAGAGCACAGCCGGGCGGGCAGTCAGGTGTCTTGCTTGGCTGTACCTTGAGGGGCACTTTTTTCAGTGCCATTGTAACTTTGAACAGTCACTAAGCGAACTGTTGTAAGTCGAGGACTACCTGTACTTTATCACTTTTTTCCTTTTTTGGGAGGGGTCATCAAGTTTTTGACACCTTGCTAGGTGACTGGTGGTACTCAGATATTGCCATATCCTAAAAGTGGTACAATGGGTGAAAAGGTTGAAAAGCCCTGCTCTAGAGCTTATTTACAGAATACAAATATGGAGGAAAGTGGAATTTCCAAAATAGCCATTTTCTCAATTCTGATGGAAAATACCTATGATCGTATCTGGTGCTCTAGGCAATATTTCAATAGAAATTATGAATGAGTTATTGTTGAAAATAGAAACTGTGATCTGATTTCAAGGCAAATAATTTTTTGATTAAGCTTCTTTCATTGATGCATAGAGTCTTTTCAGTTCCTTAGGTTCTTTTTCAATGTGATGAATTTGCAAACATGGATAAAAGATGAATGGAGTCAGATTTATGATTCGGTTTATGTAAATGAAAACTGGATTGAACCACTGCAAAGGTAAGAGTAATTGTAGACATGCTTTCTCAAGTAACTCCCAATGCATTGTCAGGACATATTTCTCAAAAATGTGCATGATTTGCTGTTTGAATGGAACTGCATCTTAAGTAATACTGTTCATTTGAATCTCTACTTAACTGAGATTGGAACTGTTGTCCCTTTTGTGTAAATTCTGTGGTGCATGTAACAACAAAATCATGTAGTTTTAGTTATATTAACCAATTACGAGCTCATTGTAAAACCTTTTTCAAGATTTTTATGATTCTGTTTCAGTCTGATAGAAAAGAAGTAGTAAGTATTAGAGATAGTATCAAGATCACATGAAGTATTAGTATCACTTTATACTGCACTGATAAGACCACACTTGGAATACAGTATTCAATTTTATTCATTCTGATACAAAAATTATGTTGAGATTTTATAAGGAGTACAGAGAAGCGCAACAAAGACAATTAGGAGTCTGGAGGCTAAAACATGATGAACAGTTGCAGGAACTGGGAATGTAGTCTAACAATCAGAAGGCTTGGAATGATGGCCAAATGGTCTCTAAATTCTGCCACGGCACACTCTTCTCCAATAAGCAACCAAATCAGAAGATCATTTATACAATTTATTATTTTGATAAGGGTCTCTCTATGAAAAAAGCCTCGGAATCCTTGAAATATATATACTTAATAGAGGAAATACAATATAAAAGAAAACTTGATTGGATGGAGGAAACCATCATTTCCAATTACATCAACATTGGTCAGTTTGCTAAACATCCCATAATATTAAGCATGATTGTTTGAATGAGCATTATATTAAAAGTAGAAAAAATAAAAACATGGGGTAATATGTCATTGGTCCGATAGAGTCCATTGTAAAAAGATTGAAGCAGTATATAACAACTGAATAACAACTAGTTACTTTATACAGATATTGAATAACCATGCAAATAAAGCGTGGATTTACTCCAAATGACGTAATTATTATAGTTCAACATGTATTGGACTTCCAGTTCAGGACCAATCTACATGTTTAAATTCTATAAAATAACTAAAATTGCTTATGCTAGTATTATTAAGCAGATGGAACCCAAAATAAAAATAAAACTGTATTTTTGCTTGTTTGTTTGGCTTCCTGGAAGATGGCAGCCAAAAATACAGGAATTGATCAATCAGCTCGATAATATTGCAGATAAACACACTACTACAACTTTAAAGAAGACTGAGCCAAATGAATTTAACTTGACGATCCCTAATCCACGAGCTATACTGATTCCTGAGCAAATTCCACAACAAGAGAAAACAAGACCTGTGAGTTCTGTATTTTTCTATACCAAAAAAGCTTGATTAATTTTTGAAAGTATTTGAATCCTAAGCTTCAGCTTTAGAACACAGATACTTTGTAAAACAACTTCCTACAACTTGGATTTCTTCTAGGCCAGGGATAGGCAACCTTGGCTCTTTTATGACTCGTGGACTTCAACTCCCAGAATTCCTGAGCCAGCATAGTTTTGCCATATGCCAGAACAGATGATAAAATCAGGAGAGGAAGCAAAATGTTTCTAATATCTCTCAGCAAATTCAAAATGACTCACATTTAAGAGAAAAGAATTTCACCCTCGCTTAAAAGAGCCACCATTTCAATTCAATCCAAGGAAAGTGTGAACGTTTAGGGGCTACTAGTAAATATACATCATGTTTGGAATGTACGAGGCCAATTCAGAAATAAACCTCAGTTTGGTTATCAATGACAGACACTCGCAGATACAAAACCTTTATTATACACATTAGAAAACTACAACATTACATTACTTTGCAACATAATCACCATTCAAATTGAGGCACTTGTCATAACGTCTTACAAGGTTTGAAATTCCTTCTCCAAAACAATCTCCTGCCTGGGAACGAAGCCACCCTGTAACAGCATCGTGAAGTGCATTGTCATGTCGAAGCGGCGCGACGCAAGGCACTGTTTCATGTGCCTGAAGAGGTGGTAGTCGCTCGGCGCCAAATCTGGGCTATAGGGGGAGTAATCAAAAACATCCCAACAGAACTGCTGTCAGGACCCACTTCAATTAATCACCCAAGAAAGCAGAACTCTTGAAACAGGCATTGTCTCAAAAGTTACTTTTATTAGGGACTAGTGATAGCAGGGAATGTAAGGCGAGATCTGAAGAAAAGCCCACATGAATGATATAATTAAAGCAAGCAATATGCCCCCTCCCACCGAAGTCATAATGTCCGTTTGAACTCCAGCCAATCCACAGGTGGCTTGATGGTCGGCTGACTGGTATGGTAGGCGCGCATCTCAGCTTTCATTTCCTTGCAGCTGTCTCCTAGATAAGGAGACGCATTCCATACTCAAAAGGTGGAGGTCAGACAAAGAAAGAGGAAAGCGAAAGTTACCAACATATGCCCTCATGCACCCCCTCCCCCAACAGAATGGCAGGCCCCAAAAGAATAGAAGGCAAAAGAGAATAGGTGAGGGGTTTGGGGTCTGACATCCAGCCCCCCTAAAAAACCGGAAAGTGCACCTGAAAGACAAAAGAGTGAAGGGAAAAACAGCAAACAAACAATTTAGGTTTATCAGGATATAAGGAGTGAAAACATTGTAGCACTCTAGGGGCTCTAACATGTTTCTTGTACACCCATTCATTCTGGGAGGCAGGGAGGGTTTTGCACGAAACTAGATATTAGTCATCCTATGATGGGTTCTGGAGTCCAAAATGTCTTTAGTTTCAAAATGCTGTTCACCCTCAACCATAATAGGTATAGGTAACGGGGGAGCAGGGGACCTGAGAGTGGAGGTGACTTCTGGTTTCAGCAAGCTGCAATGGAATACCAGGTGAATTTTCTGTAGATTCTTTGGCAGATCTAATTTGACTGTTACTGGGTTAATGATACATGTAATTGGGAAAGGTTCAACATACTTAGGCCCTAACTTTTTTGAGGGTTGTAATGATTTTAAATATTTAGTGGAAAGAAATACACGCTCGCCAACTTCAAAAGGTTTTTGTTCCATCTTCTTTTTATCCGCTTGCAGTTTGTATGTCTTTCTGGCCTTGTCGAGTGCTTTGCGAACAACCACCCAGGTATTTTGCAATTGCTTAATCCAATCTTTGAGTGATTTCGGGCTCTTTAGTGGGGAGTTCTGGAATGGCCACAAATGTTTGGCCATTGGCAACTTGGAAAGGAGTAAACCCAGTACTAAAATGTACTGCATTGTTGTAGGCAATTGCTGGTCTGGGTCTGGATGCTTCAGGACAGGCTTCATGGAGAATATTTTTTTAAGTTTTTCAAATGCTGCTTGACATTCTCCTGTCCATTTTAATGGCTGGCTAGGTTTCGGTTTATCCCCCCTTTGATTTTTAACAGATTGGTGATAGGGAGGGCAGTCTGAGCAAATGATGGAATGAATTGTCTATAACAATTGGCAAACCCCAGGAAACTTTGGAGTTGTTTCCTGGGTCTTGGGGTAGCCCAATCCAGCACTGCTTTCACCTTTCATGGATCCATCTCTACCCCCTCATGGGATATGCGATACCCCAGGCAATCAATATGCTCTTTGTGAAATTCACACTTAGATAGCTTGGCAAACAGTTTTGCAGAGCATAATTTTTTCAAAACAGTTCTGACCAATTTAATGTGTTCATCTTTCGCTTTAGTGTAGATGAGGATATCACCCAGGTAGACCAGAACCCCTTTATACAGGTGCTCCCTCAACACATCATTTATCAATTGCATAAAGATGGCAGGCGCCTCCTGCAGTCCAAATGGAAGTACTTTGAATTGGAAACATCCTAATGGGCAGTTAAAAGCCATTTTCCATTCATCTCCCTTTCTAATCCTTATGCGGTAGTAAGCTTCCCTCAGGTTCAGTTTTGAGAAGATTTTCCCTTTTGACAGGTGTGCTAACATGTCCTTCATTAAAGGTAGGAGGTACTTGTTCTCCACACACACAGCGTTGAGACTTTGATAGTCCACGCAGAGACAAAGAGATCCATCTTTCTTTTCCCTAAACAGGACTGGGGCAGCTACTCAAGGTTTAGCTGGCTCAATAAAACCCGTTTGTAAATTTTTTCTTATAAATTTTTCCAGTTCATTCAGTTCTCTAGGAGCCATTGAGTACATTTTAGGTTTTGGTAGCTTCACCCCTGGGATGATCTCAATAGCATAGTCTGTGGGGCAGTGAGGGGGGAGTTCATCCGCCTTCTGTTCACTGAACGCCTCAGCTAAATCTCGGATAGCTGCCCCAGTCCTGTTTAGAGAAAAGAAAGATGGATCTTTTTCTCTCTGCATGGACTATCAAAGTCAAAATTTGGGGAAAGTGTATAGAATGTGCAGATATCGTGAACCGATGGACTTCACAGACCTTCTTGTCAATTTCCTGCATGAGTTCAGATGGGCAGCCACTTCTTACCTCATCGTGTCAGTTCATCCATCTTTAAACATGCAACACAATGTACGACATCACTCATCACATTTGGTCTGTAAACATTACATATTTCGCAATGAATCACAGCTGCCGAAAATCTTTTCGCACACAGAAATCGTATTACTGCATGCACTTCAAATTTGGCGCAATTTTCTGTAGCAGGGTTCATTTTCAACTGCAACAATTGCAACACAATCTTCTCCTTCAACTCCTCACTGTCTGCTGAACTACTGCGCACAGTGCCATAGGATGGGCGTCGCTATCTTGCCTATTTCGCGCACATTTCTTGCACGTGCTCAAACAGAGGTTCTTTTTCTGAATTGCCCTTGTATTAATTTTTTTTAAACAATCCTGTAATCCCTTGCATTGGGGAGGAATCGTTGCGACTGAATGGAGCTGAGCACTAACTGACTGGATGCCCTTCCTGATGTGTACGTGGAGTCACAGCAGATACTTTTTTTTGTGCCACTATCTAGGATCGAACTCACAGCCCCCTGATTGTGAGGCGAGAGCCCCACCTCTAGGCCATCAGCCAGCTATTTGCATTCATTGGAGGAATAACGATTACAAGGATTGGGCTTAAAAGTTATTTTTTTCAGCATCATCATATCTTTGAATGCTTGCCGAATAAAGCTGTTGATTGTGATGACTACCTATAGATTTTGTCTGTGTATTTATGCTCAGATTCCCAAGAATACTTACAAACCACCTAGAATGAAGCAGCATCTAGAAAGAATCAGATTGAAGAATCGCCAGAAGGCGGAGGCAAGTTCAGTATTTTAATTTATTTACTTCACTATGTTTTGTGGACTTTTTCTATCCATATTTGTTGTATTTTGAAATATCTCTGGTTTCCACGGAATTGCTGAGAAGTCAAATTGTATCATAATTAGCTGCTTGTATTTGAATAATCGATTTTCAAAATTCTGCTCCAGATTCCTATTTATGTAATAGTTGGTTAAACATTTCTGCTACATACTATTTTGCCGTTCATAAAAAGGCTTAATGTCAACCAAACAAGGAGGCACTTAGCTGCCAGAATTTCACTTTTGACAGCTAAGACACCAAATTAGGCAAGAAAATGGTATGAGAATGTCTGTCCACTCTAGACGAGTTCATCATCATGGGAATTAGATTTGTTCTCCATGCAGAGAATATGACCTGCAAGTTGGATACTCTTTTGGAGCACATCATCATTATTAATATGGTCGAAATAGCGAATCTTTAGGATTTAGCAAAGCCATGTTTATTGGAAGATATTAAGACTCTTGTTAATACTTGCTGAAACCTTCCAAGTTTCACTGACTTTAATTGCTGCCGGGATCACTATAGAGGTGAGCAGAGTTTAAGTTTCGGTAATATTGACAAGGAGGACTAGGTTTTATTCTGGAAAACTTTATTCTGGAAAACAACTGTTGCTTTTACAATGTGGCACTTAATATCTGTCATAATGGGCATTTTTGGTCTTAATGCAACAGCTTGATCAGGGGTATAAGTCCTTATCGATAGCATCGTAGACTGTCGGTACATTATATAAATGTAGGATTTGCCAGAGAGATTCTCGTTGGACCCTATCAAATGCTTTCTTAAAAACTTTAAAGTTAATGCCCAGTGGATGCCGATACTCAATGCAGTATTCTATGATATTTCGTAAGGTGAAGATTTGTTTGCGGCCGGACCTTTCATAGCGAAATCCAGCTTGTTCTTCTTTCAGATGTTGGTATGTGGCATTTTGCAGCTGCCTAAGAAAAATTATGTAAATTTTTTTTCCAGGCACCTGGAAGAGGGTAATGCCCTGCCTATTGAGTTGTCAAGGTTCCAACTGACGAACCCACCTTCGAGACATTCCAATCTCTTAATGTAAAACTTTATTGAGTACATCACTTCGGCACTAATGAAAGCAAAACTATCTCTGGCAAGACCCTTCCCAAACCCATATAATAAAAGCATTGAATTCTCCTTCCCTCTGGGTCAAGTCAAGTAGAAAAATACTGTTATGAAAAAGCATCCTTAGGCCTGGCCAGACACCTGGTGTAATGTCCTTCAGTCTCACGGTCTGGGCTTCTTAATCTTTGAAGTCTGCATTCCAAACCTCTCCCCTTCCCCCAGGTTCTTTGGCAAGCTGAGAAGCAATATTTGTCACACCAGCAAAACCATGCTTCGAAACTTGTCAGTTATCTTTGGAGATTTTAATAATAGTCCCTCTTCACCACTCCTCTGGAACTCCACCACTTTGCCACATTTTTCAGTTGTTGTCCGTTCTTTCACCATATCCTGGCCGCCATGTTTAAGATCTCATCTAAGCTAGCTGCCTTGTGGTTTTTAAAGCTTCTAATCACTATCTTCTTCAATTATTATTTCACCAGTATTCACCTGAAGCTGTTGTTGTGCGCACTCTTCATTAAAATTGTATATAGTGGGTGGGTTTGGCTGGTTAAGGGTTTCTTGGAAGTGTTCAATCCATCTTTTGTTCTGCTCATCTTGGGTGACCAGAAGCTTCCCATTCTTATGTTTGATCAGTACACTGGAGCTGTTCCTCTTTCCAGCCAGTTTGTTAGCAATATAATAAAGAGTTCTAGAATCATTCCGATAGGCTTGTGCCTCAGTGCCTTTCCATTCCAACTGTTCTTTCTTTTCTTTCGGCAGCTTCACCATCTGGTCGAGCTCTGTATATTTTTATTCAATTTTTCCATTTCATCCACATCTTTGGCCTGGTCCCGTTTTAGTTTTATAACGTTCCTTTCATCTCTAAGCTTTCATGATCTATTTTGGATCCACTATTCCTTCCATTTTCCTTGCCTTTTCCAATGACATTTTATTTTGGATGCAGTGTATATTGATATTTCTGAAGTTGTTCCGGCTGTCTTCTATATCTGCTGCTTCCTTAAGAACACCAAAATGATTTTCTCAGTTTTAAAATGAAAGATTTGACAATAGTGTGGTCCTTGAGTTTCACCATTGCAAATCGTCTTTTTGACTTGGGCTGTTTTTGTTTTTGAAGGTTACACTTTATTTGCGCCCTGATAAGATAATGATCTTGTATCACAGAGAGACGATCTTCACTTCTGACTAATACAAATAAAATCGATTTCATTGAAGGTGTGACTGTTTGTTGATTGCCAGGGCGTCTTATGGAATCGTCAGTGTTGGAAGTATGTGTTTCCAATACACAGTCCATTATGTTCACAGAAGAATGTCAGTCGCTCTCTGTTAAATCACTGAACTGAATTGAAGATGTGTGTGCTCCGATCACATTCTCTAAGCTGTGTTCGTCACCTCCCAGCCAGGAATTAGAGTAAAATAGCCAATCAGGACCTTTAAGTTATAATTTGGAATGCTGTCAAAAGTATCCTTTATTTGTCCATAAAATTTGTCATATCATCTGAGTTATCTGTTGGTTCATAAGCTTGTATGCTTTGACATGTCCATGTGCAAAGTGAGCTGTGATTATTCTATCAGTGGCCAGTTTCCAGCCAATGACTGCCTTTGTTGCTCATTTTCCCAAAACAAGGTCAACCCCGTGTTTGTGCTGCTCTTCATGGCTGCATTTAAGATGGTCTTGCCAATACTATTCATCCGTCCATTCTCTATCCACCTGATCTCACCAATGCTTAAGATGTCTAGCTTGTAGTAATCAAGCAGAAGTTGAGCAGATCATCCTATAATCGCTGTTTTTTGCAGTGGTTATAATATTTAAAGGGACGGGTTGTTAGCCTGACACCCAAAACTCCTCTCTCATCTGGGCTTGGGACTGGCAATGAGTTAGATGCCTTAAGCTATAGGAACATAAATCCCAGTTTAATGTTATGAAAAAAACCCTAAATTTAGAGCACTTCAGTAATGGAAACAATTGCCAAAATAATTGTGGGCTAGGATCAGATAGGAACCACCTGCCTGGGGTACTTTAATTTGGGGATTTAGCAGGGGATTGGACTTGATGGCTTAATTGGCGCTTTCCATCTTTGAGTCAATGAATCAATGCAATATAGAAGATAGATAGATAGATAGATAGATAGATAGATAGATAGATAGATAGATAGATAGATAGATAATTTGGTTTTGTACATTAAAGAATAAATACAATTCTGTGCAAAGAAGTAATGGCATTAATAAATTTTTATTACGGTCACAGACCGCTATTTAATTAATATAACTAATTTTATGTACTTATTTATTAACTTTATATGTTCTTTTAGGAACTGCTGCTAGAAGCAAATGTTAATCAATTCAACTGTGCAGCCCCAAAGTTTGATTACAAATGCTCTGTAAGTAAAACAGAAATCAAGAAATGAATGTAACTATGAATAAATAGAAGAAAATAATTTTTAATAGGATTTATTATAATTTTATTGTTTATATAATTTCAAATAATGTTTTGTTGATATTTGATATTGATAATGATTTGCAGCACAGGCTATGAGCTCATTCTAATTTCACTTTTAATGCTGACACAATTTGAAGTTAGGTTTGGTGGTTGCATAGCAACACATAAGCTGTAAGCTGTTGCTTTTATTTATATTTGTAGATTGACAGAAATCTTAATAGTTTGCTGGTAAAGAAAAGAACTAATCAGTACTAGTAATAACAAGTGTAAATAAATTATGGAAGCTTGTAAATTTTTAATTTTCCTCATGAAAAAAGAGTGAAATTCTGACCTTAAATCTATAATAGTTGTTTAAACTATTAAAGTATTGTTATTCCAAAATGTAACTGTGAAATAGACTATAAAAATACTTTAATAATGACTGAATCTTCCCTGACATCAGGCTTTTTTTTTTGCTGCAGAAATTTCTAAAATCATATGCAAAACGTGGTAGGTTATGCATAATGCATATCTCAAGGGTGCTTTTCACTTTCTTTGCTTTCTCTTTTGTTTTTTCCCCAAAGTCCAGTTGCCTTTTGAGAAAAGCACCTTTGAGACAAACAATCAAATGCATAATTTGATTTTGAAGTATTCTTTTTTAAATAGAATAAGTTATATAATAAAACTACAATAATTTTTACCTATAGATGAAGGAAATCCCAAACCTTGCTGAAAAATTTGAGGCTCAGAAGATCAAGATCAAGGTGAGGAGCAGCTCTGGGTAGCCTAATCTTTTAAACTGGTGAGATTCAAAAAATTAAATTGAAATTACTTTAACACCAGCAGGCATCTTTTTGGTGGCCAAGGGCTTCCTTAAACATTTCTGATGGCAGCAAAATATATAAAGAAGCAGATTTGGGAATGTTTTTATTTTTTTTCTTACGATACACCTGATTCCTGCATTTTCTGTTAGTTATCAGTTTTCACCAAAGAAAATTTTTCAACTTTGCTGAAAACGATATTTCTGAGAGTCAAAAACTTGGTTGAGCAAGAACCTAGCTGTTCTTGAAAAATAGGCAGATAGCATCAGATCTAATTAATCCTTGGAAGACCCATCCTAAACTGTGGGCTGTCTTGTGAAGTAAAAAATACTCCCGAAAATAGTAGGGACAAACCACATTAATATGGTTTGCTACCATGAAAACACAATGGCATGTGCCTTAAACAGGATTTTGTTTTGTTCCTTAAATATTTTTTCAAGCCATCCTGACATTTTCTTGTTTCAGTTCTGAATGTAAATAATTCTTAGAAAATGATCAGTATAATATAGGTAGTCCTCCACTTATAACAGTTCATTTAGTGACCATTCAAAGTTACAATGTCACTAAACAAAGTGACTTATGATCATTTTCACATGATCATTGTAGCATCCCCATGGTCACATGATCTAAATTCAGATGCTTGGCAACTGACTCATATTTATGACGATTGCAGTGTTCCGGGGTCAAGTGATCCTTTTGCAAACTTCTGATAAGGAAAGTCAGTGGGGAAACCAGATTCAGTTAACAAACATGTTACTAACTTAACAACTGCAGTGATTCAGTGGCAAGAAAGGGCAAAACGAATGTCTCGCTTAGGAACATAAATTTTGGGCTCAATTGTGGTCGTAAATCGAGGACTACCTGTATTTAGAGCTGCTGATCAGTGAAAACATTGTAGTATTATTTATAATAAAGCAGGTTTTTTTAGTTAGGCATAATGGAGTCTTAACATTGTGTGCCTACAGTATTCAGCTGCTGTATGTCGTATGTATTGAAGCTTCTAAACCAGTGGTTCTCAACCTGTGGGTCGGGACCTCATTTGGGGTCGAATGACCATTTCACGGGGGTCGCCAAGCCACGCAGTCCGTCATTTTTTTCCCCTTTTCCCTAGCTGTCCTACTCCCTCTTATTGGTGGCCACACCCACTTGGGGGTCACCACAACATGGGGAACTGTATTATGGGGTCACGGCATTAGAAAGGTTGAGAACCACTGTTCTAAACATTCTTCAGAGACATCCCCATGTAGAATATATTATATAGGAAGCTAAACATAATGTAACCAAGACATGAAGATAGGCCTTAAGTTAGAACAATCAGAAAAGATGACAACTGGAACATTAAGCATAATAAGGCAACTATTTATTCCACTATCACTATCACCACTTGTTCAAAAATCACACAGTGCTAGTGAGAATCTTTGAAAAATTGCTGAAATTTTTATATGTGATTGTTAAAATTGTTTAATCATGCTTAAAAACATACTTGCCTGTTTACCTCAGAATTTCATATTGTGTTTTTTGTTCACACTTTATCCTAAACTGGAATAAGAATTGTGAAGTTAATTATGAAGCCCATTATTGCAGTCAATTGATTTCTTGGCTACCCCATCTTTCTTTAGTTTTCTTTATCAGTCCATCTCTTCTAGGATTATATAGGAGGAAAATGCTCATTTTATCCATCCAAGAAGAGTTAGTATTTGAAAGGTCAAGGTGCTTTAAATCAATCTCCATTGTCCTTTGTGGGTTGGAGGAAGCTTTCTATGATAACACTGTGAAAGGCTCATACATTTGTCTTTTGATGGGTACTTTTAAGGATGGGTAGAGGTCCTTAAGAAACAAACATTTCTTATCCCTGCCTTAAACCTTCATGGCTCAGAAAATGCCTCAAAATAGCTATTTTGGAAGGGGTTTGGGGGGTCTCTGAATGAACTTTGAGATGTAGAGATGGAAATCCTTTGTCCCCCAGAGGCTTCCCACTTTTTTTTCACTCTTAAAACCACGGGGGAAATTGTTTGCTTTTTGTTTACAAGATATATAAGGCTACCCAAGTCACAATGCTGTACTGCTGTACAGTGCAAAAATAAATAAACATCCCACTCGAAATCAAAACAAAACATGTATAATATATAAATAGAAAATGGTGACCAAGCAACACAACAAAACAGCCAAAACGGGATTTTCAGGCAATTGGACTCTAGTGCTTGAGGGAAAAGAAAAAAAAAAAAACAGGAAGGAAGCAAGCAAGCAAGTAAGCAAGCTAAGATACATATAGAGAAAAAAAGAAAAAATATAGAAAATACCAAAGAGATATTCTGCAATGTCACCCTTTTGGCAATTATTTACCACCAAATTTTAAAAGCAGGAACTAGGGGTGCTGCAAATGACTGAAGTATATGGAACCATAACCTAATTAAATATATTTTCTTTCTTGATTATAAACTCCGTATAATTTGTATCATTCTACGTGGAAATGAAATGTAAAGGAGAAGTGTATACCTCATTGTTCATCAGCCAATGAATTAATGCGATTCATGAGCCAAATCGTGGCCTATTATTTTTATTAATGTTAGTTTACTTTAAACCACTAACAATAGGATCTTAGAAATATATTATTATTATTATTAGAAATAAGATCCACTTATTTTCATGTTACTTATTTTAGAAATATAAGATTTGATTGTAGGCTAAATGAAGCAAAACATTTTTGGGAAGTGATATATCTTAATATATTTTGATTATCAATCATACTGGGAGCTTTTTCTTTTAAAAAATATTGCTGTCTCTGTAATAAATTATCAGAAGAAATTTAGTATTGCATAATTAACTCTTAATTAATTAATAACATAATTATATTCTTCATTTCTGCAATTGTAATTTAATACATAAGTTGAGGATATGCCACTGATGAAAATAGAAACAGCTTTTATATTGGATACTATGCATTTATCATCAACTACCTATTAACTACTTAAAGAAACCTAAATAACTATTTTAAAATTTAGTTAGGGAATATGATACTGTTATATCAGTTATAGATTGTTCAAGATTTCTCTTTTACAGTTTTGCTTCTAAAAATATTCATGTATTAATTTATTCAACAGACTGACAATACTCCCGTTAGGCTAAATGCAGCAGCAATCTTAAGAGAAGGTGTTCTATACCAAAGAAAAGTGGAACAGGAGCTTAAGAGGTACTTAATCTATGTCTGATTTGGTAATGTTTTTATTGTCTTCTAAAGAAAATTAAGATGCTATCTGTTGTTTATAATACAATTATTCTCCTCTCTTTCAAAACTGAAAAGATTCCAAAGATTATTAATAAAGGTATTTTCAGTTATATTAGATGAGGAGAATCAGTTTGGTGTACAGGTAGTCCTCTACAACAGTTCCTTTACTTTTAATTTTTTAAAAAGTTTCAACATGTAAAGAACAAGTACCCCACTGCTTACATCTCTCTGTGTAGATGTAGTTCCATTAAAGACTACACATTGGGTGCGGTTTGTCAGCCAGTTACAAATTCATCTGATAGTGATGCTGTCTATTTCACACTTTTTTTAGTTTACCAAGAAGTAATCTACTTTGTGGTCTACTTTGTGGTCTACTTTGTCAAATTCCTTACTGAAATCCTGGTATACTATGTCCAGCATTTTGCTGGTCCACTAATTAATCACTTTTCAAATTGTAAATAAGATTTGTTTGGTATTATCTGCTTTTAACAAACCCATGTTGGCTTCTTGTTATACTTTTGCTTGCTTCTAGGTGCTAGGTGAAAAAAAGCTTATTTCTCAACCTAAAAGAGGTGCAAACAATTTACCTAGGTGTTACCCTTAGGGCAGTGGTGGCGAATCTATGGCACGCATGCGAGAGGCGGCACTCAGAGCCCTCTCTGTGGGCATACACGCTGTTGCTCCAGCAGAGTTCACCAGAGTAGTGAGCACTTGGCGTTTGGAAGCGATGGGGCAGGAAGTGAGTGAGCAAGCGGCGTTGGCCCCCCAGGGATGCCCTGGAGATGGCAAGGGACTGGCCCCGGCCATACTCACCCAGTCTGCCATGATCACTGCAGCCACGCCCACCCAGTGGCCCCCCCCCCCGAGGGCACCACAATGCTGATGCAGCCCTGGCACTTTGCGATAAATAAGTGGGTTTTGGGTTGCAGTTTGGGCACTCGGTCTCTAAAAGGTTCGCCATCACTGCCTTAAGGTGTTTGGTTAACATTTATCTAGGAAAAAGGCTGGAAATGCCAGGGAAATGAGACAAAAGGGAACTGAGCCAAAGACCAAAGGCCTCCCCTTATAGCTATTCTAGCCTTCACATAAGACAGCAGTATTTGAGCTGTACTGTTTCCCTTCAAATAACCTATTTTAATTTTTATTATAGAATTGAACATCTTCTCCAAGGAGCACAGGATCCATCAAAATTTCTAGAATGGCAAAAACAAATGCGTGGGAAAGATTTGGACCAACAGTTGACAGAAGCAGAATGTAAAAAACTACAAGGAAAGCTAAGCTTTGAGGATGCTATTTTAGCACGCCAGTACTGCATTCAGGAAAAGAAAAAAAATGCTGAGCAGAAGAGAGAAGAGGTACTGAGTGTTCTCCAGATTTTATATGGGTTTGAGTTGTGCATGTGAGTTATATTATAGATATATTATTAAATTATAGATAGATACACTTGGCAGAAAAAGGAGTTTAAGTAGATTCTTGAGGTATGCAGGAAAACTAATGCTTTTCATAAAAAAAAAACCTTTTCCTCTTTTTCAATCCCAATCCCAAGAGGATTTGTGTGCAAAGGCTATATAATGCATAAAGCACTTAATGTTTATTATTCAAACTTAGTAACAATAAGAAACTACATAATCTCCCTCTTCCTATTCAGAGTGCCTCTGTTTTGTTACGATGCAATTTTGATTTATTGTATCTTGTGAAATTTACTGCTGCATCTAGATATATCTTCATGGCTTGTATATGTTTTGCTTTTTGAGATGATATAGAGAGTTTGGTGTCATCAGTGTATTGGTATCTTATTTCAGATCTCCAAATGGTTTTGTATACATGTTGATCAGCTTTTAATCACTTGCTTTATGAGGGTTTGTTTTATTCCTTTATACTTCCTACCATTGCTGCTCTTTTCAGAACAAAATTATCTTATTTAGCTAAGATAAAGGATGATGTCTACTAAAAATATAAAATACAAACTATATACATATTATAGGTGTGGGGAAATGTTTTGTATTTTAGCATTTGTATTTAAGTTGTAAGCTACTGTGAATATACTGCATATATTCTAAGAATATATCTTAGAAGATATTGCAGAATACTAATTTGAGAGAGGAGCTCAAAATAGTATACATAATATTTCCTCCTCCAATTTTCAAGAGAGTAATAACATTCTGAGAACGGAAATACTAAAGACGACTTCAAAATTAATTTCAAGGGAGGAATATGGGTGATAACTACGGAAGTGCATAGATGGAAAGTTCTATGATTAATCCAGGCTTAAGAAGATCCATATAGAGATTAAAGAGAAAGACATAGAAGCAATAAGGAATAGTTAATTATATTGATCTGAATTTCACTCCTGGTGATCCTTGAGCAATTTCTATTACTATTCTAAGGAAATTCCAGGACTCACTTTAATTTTATCCACTCACATTGTCCATTATTTTCCCTTTCTCCTATTACCCTCAACTATGCTAAGCATATAATTTTTTCTAGTTCAGTTTCTGTTCACATCACTTGCTTAAGGTTTTGAGACAAACAGGCAGCATTTTATCTGGTGCAGAATTGATTGGTTCTCTTCTCAGTCCACTCTACCCTAGTAAACATTTATTATACAAATCCACAAGTTGAAGGTGTTCACCTTTTTTTCTTTTCCTTTCTTAGTATTCAGCTTTCACAGCAATGTATTATATTGTCCTAATCATCCTAATATTTGTTAGCGTTGTTATCAGTCTCTTCTATAATCTTGTCTAAATGTGTCATTGTTTTCCTTCATAGAAATAATGGCATCTTTACTTCTCCAATATATTATTTATTTCTGAATATCCACCACAAAAGATCCTGAGCATTATGTTTGAATATCCACCACAAAAGATCCTGAACATTAATGAAATTGTATTGATTAATGAACTGAATATTAAGAGAGGCATTTGAAAAAAAATGACAAAGATTCAAATAATGAAGAGTTGAAAGATACGAGTATTTTTAGTTGAACTCAGGCAAGAAAAAGCTGAAAGAAAAGCACTCCTTTTATATTGATATATATCTCTGAATTTTTTCAGGCTCTCATATGGAAAATGAACAGCACATAAAGCAAAAGCAACGTAAACCACTCTCCCAGAAAGTTCAAAAATGAAAAAGCTAATCAGAGTTTTAATGTCAAAAATATATTAATGCACTTACCTGAGTTTCTTTTCAGCTCCCTGCAAGTTTTCATGCACTGCCCACAATAGATTTGCAGAGAAGCTGGGATAAAATTGTGTTTGTAACTTCCCTTCTAATCATTTTAGCCTTTGAATGTGAAAAATATGGAAGACTATTGTGAAATCATTTAAAATAAACTTTTTTCCTAATTAAACTTAATAGAGTTACATCTATTTGTTTGGATTTTAGACAGCAGAAATGCATCACCAGTGTGCAGAAAGATGCCTTCATGAAAGGAAGGAAAAGGAAAAAAAGGTTCAGCAAGTGGCAGAGGGACATAAAAATGTGAAGCAAGCACAAACAAAACTCCAAAAATGCAAACAGCAAATAGGTATTAATAGTGACAGATCTATAGACTTTTAGCAAAGTTATTTAGCATCGAGAGTATTCATGAACTTGAGAGAAACTATTAAAATGTCATTTCATAGGCATTCTTCTTGTCGGAGCAGTAGCAAGGAGATCTGGTGGGGGGTTTATCATTATCCCCTCTGTCATGGTCTGATCATGCCATAGTGTCCTTGAAAATTTCCAGTTGTGCCCCCTTCTGCAGGGAGGCTGGACATCTTTGAATAATCTATCCTCAGCAACCAATGGACCCTCTCGGGTTCCAGAGTGAGCTGGGGGATGACTGCTGTGGAGGCTTTGGCCACAGCTGGAATCAAACAGCGGCTGAAGTGGTGACAGGATCATGCTCATGTGCCCTCTCTTGGCCCATCTCTCCTGGCTCCTCCCCATAGTTCACAGAGTTGCTGAGGATGTTGAAAAGGGCCAAAAGCACCACTGGAGGAAGACCAAGAATGAATCCAATCAATCGTAAATCTATTCTTCCCACACTCCACCATTAGCTGCTATTCTGTGACTTCCAGCTATCTTATTTGAGACGACAAAATGAGAAAACTGATTGGTTTCAGAGATTGCACTTAAAAGCTTTGCACTTAAAAGAGGTTGCACTTAAAAGCTTTACCATCACCAATCTATAATTTTCTTAAAAACATCTCTTGAATACTTCAGAACTTAAAGCTTTCTGGATAGATTTCATTCTATACAAAATGGACTCCCTCAGCTTCCTGGTGGTGCTTTTAACCTGTGGAATCTCTAAATGCCCCTAAAAAACAAAGAATCTTCTGCCCTTATGATGTCTATAGAAGCCATCTGCAGGAATGGGATGGAATGGAATACAGATCTGCATTTTGGGGTCTATGTCGATGACATTGTTACTGACCATTGATCCAAGTTGCAGAGTAGCAAGTGCACTTTGGAAAGGTATTCTCTGATTAATGAGTTCTCCAATTACCATTTACACTGGAATTCACTCCATTTGCTAATTATTTCTACGTTTATTTATCTTTGGCAATATATTAGTAAAATTTATATTTTTTTCTGCTTTTCTAGCTCAAGAGATATCTAAAAAAAGCCAGGACATACTACTTCAGGCTTTAAAAGAGGAAGAAGAGAAATTTAAAAAAAAATATGAACTGATTCAGCAAATAAGAGCTATAGAATACCTGCCATTTCTTAGAAATAGATTTATTGACTTAACCAAGGTAAACTCATAATAAAATATGGATAAGCCAACAGTGAAATAGAAAAAGAAGATCTTTGCTTATTATAACTTATGAATCCTATCTTGTTCTAATACCTAACTAAAAATTACAATCTCTAAAATTCCTTCTCCATTAATTTTGGCTACATGTAAGGGACATGCACAGCAGGTATCCAAATGAAATCAAAGATGCTGACATGAACTTGTAGTTTTATATAAATAAGTATATTTTACCTCTTATGTTTACAACAGACAAGATAGTCAGGCTAACAGGAGCATCATGAGGTAAATCATCAGGGCATACAGAAGAAAAAGGCAGGAAAAAAGGGAAACTCCTTCTCTGCACACACAGCAGCCAATCACAGTGCAGATTGCCTTACATAGGAACCAGCACTCTAACCAATCAACCACAACTGTGTGTTCTGGCTCACTTCACAATCCCACTGCTCCAGCTACTAAATTTAAATAACACTACAGTTGTGCTTTTAGTATCTCCTCCTTTGTAAAGTCTCCCTAGTTACTTTGACTTCTTTCCCATTAGCTTCACCTTTCATGAAAACATATTTACTACATATTTATTAAAATGTATTTTCTTACTTTATTATTGTTGGATTTATACCCTGTCCATTCAAGAGCTCTGAGTGGTGATGTCCATATTCTTGAAGTCCAATATATACAATAGGTTTGACTAGGTTTAAGTTTAGTTTCCATTAAAATGAAGAAATGCAGCATTACAGAGTCTTTTTCTCCTTTTGTTACACAATGGTGACTAGTATCAAATTAAGGATAACTGATTTTCTTCGGTCCTTCTCCAGTTTCTCTGTAGGTGAAAACTGTCAGAGAGACAAATCAGGACTTTCTGTAAGGAACTGTTATAGATTGACAGCTACTCTTATTTGTGTAATTTCAGCTATGCCTTCAGTTGAACAAACAAGTGAATAAGTTATACAGCTCTCCCCTGCAAGTCTATATTTCTTTCCTAAATCTTTGCTCCATTCCTTACTTAAAACCAGTTCAAGGCTTAAAGCCAATTTACATTTTATATTTGTTGCAACAAAAGTTCAAGACTTAATCCCCAGCAAGAAAAGCAGGAAAGATGGTAATAGTGGAAAGGGATGAGTTGGGGACAATCCCAAACTCCCAGGATTGCATTTTTTTTTTGTCCAAGTGTGGACTCTAATGTAAATTAAGATACAACAGAAATATGGTGCTTCTGCTTTTCTTTTCCATAGACTGCTGATCATGGTGTACTGGGTGAAATGTCGTTTGTGGAACTTCAAGAACGTTTAACTTTGCTGAAAGAATCTCAGCAAAAAGCAGAAGAAGAGAAGAGGGATCTGATAATCCGTGAAAAACATGCTAAGGAACAACTTCTTTTGGATAAACTGGAACAAATCTGTATGTTCAGAGAACAATTTGGCAGAGCAGCTGCATTAAAGTTAGTATGAAATATTGTGATATTTATTCAGAGACCACTGTTTAAACAATGCCACATGAACCACATGACATAAAAGTGCGCACTAAATTTATTTCTTTAATAATCTCATAGACAAGGCCAAACATTACTCATTGTGGGCTTTAAGAATGGATTTTCACCAATGTTCTGTGTTTCAGAATAACCAGCATTTGAAATACTGTATGTTCACAATTTTTGAAAGGGTATTTCTTTGATATTCTAGCCTTTCATTATACTGTGTGTTATATTTTTAAGGACAGTGCAGGGATTTGATACTTGTGAAAATAGGAAGCATTTTCGACTTGAAGTACAGTGGATATAAAAAGTCTACACACCTGTTAAAATGCCAGGTTTTTGAAGTGTAAAAAATTAGACCGAGATAACTCATTTCAGAATTTTTTCCACCTTTAATATTACAAAGTGTATAATTCAGTTGAAAAAATCTGAAATCTGTTAGGTGTAAAATTAACAATAAAAATGTACAATACAGGTAGTCCTTGACCTACGACCACGGTTGAGCCCAAGATTTATGTTGCTAGGTGAAACATTTGTTAAGTGAGTTTTGCCCCATTTTACAACCTTTCTTGTTACAGCTGTTAAGTGAATCACTGCAGTTGTTAAATTAGGAAGATGGTTGTTAAGTGAATCTGGCTTCCCCATTGACTTTGCTTGTCAGAAGGCCACAAAAGCTGATCATATGACTCTGGGACATTGCAACTGTCATAAATAGGAACCAGTTGCAAAGCATCCGAATTGATCATGTGACCAAGGCGATGCTGCAATGGTCGCAAGTGTGAAAAACAATCAAAAACTTTTTCTAATGCCATTGTAACTTTGAATGTTCACTAAATGAACTGTTGTAAGTTGAGGACTACCTGTATCTGTATTTCAGGTGAATCTGAATCTCAATAGACACTCTGTGAATTAGTAGTGCTCAGCTTTGGGAATTGGCTTAAGGTTCTTGCCATTAATCAGATTGCTATACAGTTGGAAGTTATATAACCTGAAAAGTAACCTCAGCTAAAATGTTCCTTACCTATTTATTGCTGGCTTTTAAAAATAAATATTTTATTAATTTTCTAATTTTACAGTCAAAAACTTAATAAAGAATGTGTTGTCTGGGTCCATTAGTAAGTCAGTGGTATATATTAACTTATTCAGTCTAGATCCAATATTACATCACCAAATGTTTCCTGACTTCTTCCAGTAGTACCTTTTTTCCCACACTGGGCAAATACAATTCTTATTGTTATTAATAAATATACAATTGAATATCAACATCTTTGTTACATTTTTCTCATAATATCAATAATGTCAGTTTTAGAAAACTTTTCTAATCAAAACATATCTTAATTGCATTTGCACTTAATATCCATATGTTCAATCAGTATCCTGTTTTTGCTTTTTTTTTAAATTTCAATTTCCCATCAGTGTTCAAAATGTCTCTATTGTTTATAATTTCAAAGTAAGTTATAGTTGGGTAACCAAAAGCTTCCCTTATTCAAACTTCTTAGCATTTTCCTATTTCCCTTCTCATACCAAAATCTAATATTCTAATTATAAATCTTATCTTTCTAGTTATGATAATACTTCTATTTCTAGCAATTATCTATTCTCCACCATAGATAGAAAAATGTAGGGTAGAAAGCACCACCACCAGATGGATTTGTAGCTGGCTGACCGGCTGTGCTCAGCGTGTGGTCCTTAATGGAACCGCATATACATGGAAGGAAGTGTGTAGTGGGGTGTCCCAGGGCTCTGTTCTGAGCCCAGTGCTCTTCAACATCTATATCAACTATTTGGATGGGGGATAGATGAGGAACTCATCAAATTTGCAGACGACACCAAGCTGACAGGAATAGCCAACACTCCAGAAGACAGGCTTAAGATACAGAAGGATCTGGATAGACTTGAACACTGGGCGCTATCTAACAAAATGAAATTCAGTGGTGAAAAAAGCAAGGTTCTACATTTAGGCAAGAAAAACCAAATGCACAGGTATAGTATAGGGGGTACCTTGCTCAATAGTAGTAACTGTGAAAGGGCCCTCGGAGTCCTAGTGGACAATCACTTAAATATGAGCCAGCAGTGTGCTGCAGCTGCCAAAAAGGCCAACACAGTGCTGGGCTGCATTAACAGGGATAGAATCAAGATTACGTGAAGTATTAATACCACTTTACAATGCCTTGGTAAGGCCACACTTGGAATACTGCATCCAGTTTTGGTCACCGCGATGTAAAAAAGATGTTGAGACTCTAGAAAGAGTACAGAGCAGAGCAACAAAGATGATTAGGGGACTGGAGGCAAAAGCATATAAGGAACAGTTGCTGGAATTGGGTATGTCTAGTTTAATGAAGAGAAGGACGAGGGGGGACATGATAGCAGAGGGAGTCAAGCTATTTTCCAAGGCACCTGAAGGCAGGACAAGAAGCAACGGGTGGAAACTAAGCAAGGAGAGAAGCAACCTAGAACTAAGGAGAAACTTTCTGACAGAACAATTAACCAGTGGAACAACCTGCCTCCAGAAGCGGTGAATGCTCCAACACTGGAGATTTTTAAGAAGAGACTGGACAGCCATTTGTCCAAAATGGTATAGAGTTTCCTGCCTGAGCAGGGTGTTGGATTCGATGACCTCCAAGGTCCCTTCCAACTTTACTATTATTATTATTATTATTATCATCATCGCACAGTCAGCCAGATGTTCAGACTGGATTTGGCATTTTGTCTACCTATCGAGTCCTTACCCAGGACCTGGGATAGGCAGATGTGGATGTTTGATGGTATTACAGGTATCGTCGCAGGATGGAAGCAGTTCCTAATAAGGCCGCCTTTTGCAATTGACTAATAGCGAATTTGTCAATGCCAATGGTGTTCAAGTGGTGCTCCAGTTGTTTTGGGATTGCACCCAAGGAGCCTATGACTATTGGTACTACCCTTGCTTGCTTTTGCCACAGTCTTTCTATTTCTATTTGTAGGTCTTTGTATTTTGTTATCTTCTCCAGTTCTTTCTCTTCTATTCTGCTATCTCCAGGCACTGCCACGTCCACTATCCAGACTTTTTTGTCTTTCTTATCGACAATTGTTAAGTCTGGGGTGTTATGTTGCAGGTGCTTGTCTGTTTGAATTCTGAAGTCCCAGAGCAGTTTAATTTTATCATTTTCTATGACTTTCTCTATTTTATGATCCCACCAGTTTTTGCTTACAGGCAAATGATATTTTTTGCAGATCTTCCAATGCACCATTGTTGCTACTTTGTCATGCCGCTGCTTGTAATCAGTCTGTGCAATCTTCTTGCAACAGCTTACCAAGTGGTCCACTGTTTCTTCAGCTTCTTTGCATAGGCGGCACTTACTGTCTGTTGCTGTCTTCTCAATTTTGACTTTGTATGCATTTGTCCTTAAGGCTTGGTCTTGTGCAGCCAGAATTAGTCCCTCGGTCTCTTTCTTCAATTTTCCTGCTCTTAGCCATTGCCAGGTTTTATTATTATCTGCTTTCCCAGCTATTTTTTTAATGTATTGGCCATGTAGAGCTTTGTCTTCCCATGCCTCTATTCTGTTCTTCATCTGGTCTTTCTTGTAGGCCAGTTTGGTCTCTCCAGTAGTTAGTAAGCCTTATTATTATTATTATTATTATTTATTATTTATTATTATTATTATTATTATTATTATCGATCATCGCACAGTCAGCCAGATGTTCAGACTGGATTTGGCATTTTGTCTACCTATCGAGTCCTTACCCAGGACCTGGGATAGGCAGATGTGGATGTTTGATGGTATTACAGATATCGTCGCAGGATGGAAGCAGTTCCTAATAAGGCCGCCTTTTGCAATTGACTAATAGCAAATTTGTCAATGCCAATGGTGTTCAAGTGGTGCTCCAGTTGTTTTGGGATTGCACCCAAGGAGCCTATTACTATTGGTACTACCCTTGCTTGCTTTTGCCACAGTCTTTCTATTTCTATTTGTAGGTCTTTGTATTTTGTTATCTTCTCCAGTTCTTTCTCTTCTATTCTGCTATCTCCAGGCACTGCCACATCCACTATCCAGACTTTTTTGTCTTTCTTATCGACAATTGTTAAGTCTGGGGTGTTATGTTGCAGGTGTTTGTCTGTTTGAATTCTGAAGTCCCAGAGCAGTTTAATTTTATCATTTTCTACGACTTTCTCTATTTTATGATCCCACCAGTTTTTGCTTACAGGCAAATGATATTTTTTGCAGATCTTCCAATGCACCATTGTTGCTACTTTGTCATGCCGCTGCTTGTAATCAGTTTGTGCAATCTTCTTGCAACAGCTTACCAAGTGGTCCACTGTTTCTTCAGCTTCTTTGCATAGGCGGCACTTACTGTCTGTTGCTGTCTTCTCAATTTTGACTTTGTATGCATTTGTCCTTAAGGCTTGGTCTTGTGCAGCCAGAATTAGTCCCTCGGTCTCTTTCTTCAATTTTCCTGCTCTTAGCCATTGCCAGGTTTTATTATTATCTGCTTTCCCAGCTATTTTTTTCATGTATTGGCCATGTAGTGCTTTGTCTTCCCATGCCTCTATTCTGTTCTTCATTTGGTCTTTCTTGTAGGCCAGTTTGGTCTCTCCAGTAGTTAGTAAGCCTTCCTGATATACTAATTTCAGTGCATCTTCATCATTGTTCTTCAGATATTCTTCCAAAGCCATTTTTTCTTCTTCAACCATCTGATGTACTTGTAGCATTCCACGCCCACCTATTTGCCTTGGTAGATAAAGTCTATCAATGTCACTGCGTGGATGAAGGGCATGATTCATTGTCATTATTTTTCTGGTCTGCCTATCCATTGCTTTTAGTTCTGCTTGAGTCCAGTCCACTATTCCAGCTGTGTACCTAATGACTGGGATTGCCCAGGTGTTGATTGCCTTTATGGTATTTCCTCCATTGAGTTTGGATTTTAAGATCTTCTTCACTCTCTTCATGTATTCACCTCTAATCTTTTTCTTGACTTCAGTGTGCTTGATGTTGTCAGATTATTATTATTATTATTATTATTATTATTATATTCAAACATCTAGTTAATAATATAATATCCCATCTAATGGATCAAAATTCTATTTTCTTCAGCCTTACTCTAGATTTCTTCCTTTGCCAACTAACTTTCCAAGTCAATGCATTTTGTAACAACAAGTAATTTTTCCTCTGTTTTTGTGTGTATTGTTTGGAATAAGAAAGACCATTTGGTTAAAGTATTTTTGGAAGAACGAACCCATTGATATTCATTAAACAGCCTCCCTCCTTCTCCAGTTCCCCACAGTTCTCCTAATAGCTCTATTTTCCATTTCATCAGTTCTTCTTCCTTTTCCTCAAATGTGTACTGAAGTCTTGATTGGTAAGATGTCTTTTCATTTTCGATACTATCGCTACATCTTATAGTTCTTCAATTATCTGAATCTGTCAGTTAGTTCCTTCCTTTAGGTCCTCCATCTTTGAATCTGCTTCCTCTAGTTTTCCTTCTATTTTCTGAGTTGCTAGTTCCTGCTTTGTAATCATGTTCTGGGTTTGTAAATTTAGAATAGAAAATTGTTCTTTTATCTCTTTTGTGTTATTTCTAGTCTTATCACGAGCTAAAGCAATAGTCTCTTATATTAATTTCAACATGGAGAGAATTTTTTTCTGATCTTCATCCATATTTTCTTGGTGGTATATCAAACTGAAGACTTAGGGGACAGGTGTTAAAGATTTTTTTTACCATTTTTACCATTTAAATGGGACATCCATTTCATTTTTGTAGGTGGTCTTTATAATAAAAATTGTTCATCAAAGATCCAAAATATTCCATCCAAAATATTCCATCATCTCAAGTAATGATGTGTGTTTCTGCTGCAGGGAAATAGTTCCACAACACAGCTATGAAAGTCAGTAAATACTTATATTCGTAGTTCAGGCAGGCCAGTTTCAAATAGTTCATCATCTCTGCCACATCAATAAGCAGCCCCAAAGTTTTTCCCCCTTTTTTCCAGCTGCAGTCTTCAAAAGTGAAAGTTTCCAATGACAGCAAGAGTCTTATCTAAATCTTGGCTTTAAGCCAAGTTTTCTTTAGGCATAAATTGTAGTGCCACAATTCACCACGAAATGTCATTAGCATTGTTTTCCAGCTTTTTAAATCCAAACTTATATTACAAACTTTTCAATTTTTTTTTAAAAGGTCTCAAAAGCACTTTTAGTCCACAAATTTCAAAGCCATATATGTGTATTAATTCCAAATTAATCTTATAATTTTCTCTATTTCCCCCAAGCAATTAGTTTGCTGCTTTTCTTTTCCTGAGGGAATGGGGTGGAAATTCCCCTTCCCTCTCTCATTGGGAAGGGTATTTTGGGCAATTTCTTTCCTGGAAGAAGTCTTAAGAGTCATAAAGAGAGGATAGGCTCTCACCCAGTTTCATCCACATTGCTGAAAAATTGCTTGTTGGTACTTATTTTCTTTGGTTGTCAGTAGCTTCTGACTGGCTACATGAATGTAGCCAGTCTTTCCCCCACCGGTTTGGAGGGCTTTCTCAGATCAAACAGAAGGGCTACCGCCCTCCCGCGATCAACAAGGGTCCCCTCCTTGCTTGTCACCTCTACGGGGTGACTTTCGACCCTTTCCAGGATCCCCAGTGGGACAAAATCGAACTTGAAAGACAGAGCCCTGTCTTCCTGCGCCCATTCTGCTGCGACGTCAAAGCGGAAGTCCCACTGGCTTTTTTTAAATGGGAAAAATTAAGAGATTATTATTTTGCCATTGCAACTGATTCAAAATAAGTATATGAGAGTTCCATTAAGCCTAAGACATTTTTGATGTGCTTTTTGAGGAAATTGGAACTCTGCCAATTTTCCTTATTGTATATTTTTCTCATTAAATTGTAATTGTTTCTAGGTCACAAAGAATTGCATTGTTTTTTTTAGACAGGAGGAAAACAAAACGAAGACTCCACTTCGTGAAGCCATTTTAAAAGAGGAACAAGTTTTAGATCTACAGAAAAAAATTATGGAAAAGTCTACTGAACGTAAAATGCAAACTGAATATTTAAAAACTAAATTTCTGAAGTCTAATGAAAAAACCAAGCCATCTTGGAAATTAGACAAAGTAAGAAAAGGAAAATAATGCTTTATTTTGCATTTTATAAAACAATCAGACTGTCTTTGAAGCATGTGTGGAAATTTGAATAATTGCTTTACACTTTAAAAAATTAAGCATATACACGTTTAATACATTTAATGTATATATCTTAATCATAAAACAAATTTCCATTCATAACTCATACAAGACTCATGCAAGAAAAGTTTCAAAAAAGTTTAAAATTTGTATAAAACAGCTGATTCAAATGTTAACACATATGTCAATACTTGATTAACATCTGAAAGTTGTGTTATACAAATTTTAAGTTTTTGAAATTTAAATTTTCAAAGAGAAAAATAATTACTATGCCATCATTTCCCAATTTTATTCCACCACTGCTCATCAGAGGCTAAAAAAGCACAGATTGGTGGGGTGCCATCAAGTACACATTAATCCCAACTGCTAGAATGGTGTCACCCCTTCCTTTGCTGTCCTTCGGAAGGCACGAGGCAAGTGATGCACACCTTCAAGCCAAGGTGAAGTTGTTAGTGAAGTGGGATTTTCCTAATACCTAGTCGAATTTGAGGAGCGAATTGATTTTGACTTTAAATTGGCAACAGTATCTCACCTGCTGAACAAGCAGAAAAGTGCTCAGCTAAACAATGAGGACACTAGCAATTCCAAGCAGCATTGCTTTCGAACAAGTGCTTTAATTTTTAAATGCCGACATAGTAACTGCTTAATCTGTTCCAGAATTTTGCCTACGTTTTCTGTTTTCAAATAACAGCTTTTTTTCCTGTTATTTGAACACAAAACAACAGTACCTTCTCCAATCCTATGTTACCATATCCATTTGCATGAGGAACTTCAGAGAAAGGGATCTAAAATTACATTTGCAGGCTCAGCTTCACAAGCAACTTAGTGGCATCACTTATTAATTATTTTTGCAGGATGTGTCCACATTACATTGATCTCACTCTCAGCTCATTGTTGAGGTAACCTAATCCAGTGCTTAGTTGTTTCAGTTCAGAAGTGACATTTCATTCTTTTGATACAGAATTTCAAAGGGGTCAATTTAGTGCATGTAGAGGTGAAGCAAGGAATGACACTGTTAGCAAATGGTTGTATTTTCAGTATCTTATTTTAAAAAAAATCTTGACACCCCCCCCCCCCCCGATGCTTTTGATCTGAGGAGTTCAGTCCATAGAAGTTTATTGAAATTGGCTTTCCTGAAAGGGAAAGTGATAAAGCAATGAGAACAATATGGGGTTTGAAAAAATCAAGCTCTTCCTTTCACTCAAATACCTAGGAAATAATTATAATACCAGCTACCAGATGAAGAAAGACAAGAGGCCATTTCAGTTTATTGCAATAAAAAAAATCAGGAAAATTTTTAAATAGCTTTATGAAAGGCCACATAAAAGGGATATTTTTTTTTCTTGTGTCTTCCCAATCTTTTTCAAGTTTCACTGAGACTTTATAGTCAAACCATTATCAGTTTACCTAGGTGCCAGATCTTAGGGATGTATTAACTTCTCAGGGATGTTGATGGAAATCCTACTGGTGTTACTTGAATAAATTGTGAGGTACCCCAATCACCGTGTGCCATTGCATTCTGGACCACTTGCAGCATCCGGATGGTTTTCAAGAGCGGCCTCACGTAGAGCATGTTGCAATGATTATTTAACATGTTTGAATTAATATTAGGATATATTTTGTTTTCACAGAAATCTGAAGGAGAGGATCACTGGAAGAAATGGGAAGAAAGTCGACAACAGCAATTTAAAATGCTTCAGCAAGGTCTTATGTCTAGAGATAATGCTCAGAAAATGGTAACAAATGAAGCTATGAGAACTGGAACCAATGCTTGTATATTAAGAAGTTAGACAAAATTGTTTCTAGATGTCATACTGTTTAGAAGACATTTACTACTAATCTGATTCAGTTTTTGATTTCTTGAACTACTTTATACTTTACTATAAAAATGGCTATTAATTGGCAGCTGTTTTTAGTTTATATTATGTTGGAACTATAATGCTTTTAACATTTTTAGCTATTATAATGCTAGTTTTCAAAATAAATATGTGGTACTTTTTAAATGTTATATTTTTCAAATAAATAAAAGGGAGACAAACATGCATTTTAATATTTTAAAATAGCTTTTTTCATTTAAGCCAAGATAATATTTCAGTATGCTATAGTCAAAACTGTCTCGAGTATATCAAAAGCAAATAATGAGGGAAAATAGTGTTTCAGAGCTTTGCTAAATCTTGAATCTCCTTTAAGAGGGATCAATTTCAGTGGTTTTTACAAAGATTTCTTTTTTTCACCGTTTATACATTTTTATTAGTTTATCAAAATATAAAATACAAAGAAAAATAGAAAACTAGGGGAGAAAGGGAAGGAAAGACAATATAGGGGAGAAAGGGAAAAGAAAGAAAAACACATTGCTTTCAACTCTCTTTAGTACAGTAGACCATAATAACATTACAACCTAACTTTTTACTTTTACACAATAGTATATACTCGTCATTTCTATAGCAATAAACCTATTTAATCAGCAAAAACAAAATCAGAGTTTCATTTTTTTTTTCGTTGCAAGCACAAAATCTGGAAGCACTTTCCGAACAGAAACAGAATTAAATATATTCTCTCCTTTGGATGAAGGTATCAATTTAACCAACTCTGCTTTTCCTTGCTGTGGGAAATAGTATATCCTTCTATTTACTCATTAATCTTTATAAACTGTCATAATTCATATTTTAAAAAAATTCCTATGTTATTTCAGATTTTTTTTAACCTAAAGGGAGAAAGCACTTTTTCTAAGTTTTAAAACAGTCAACTTTTCTTTAAAAGTATTTCTAAAATCTGTAGGTTCTAATACTTTTTTTGACTTTAATTTTTAACTTCTTCTTAACATACATAGAGTTCACTTTCAATGATATTTTACAGACTTAAAAAATTACTCAAGCATTTTATATATGAAGGGAAAAAATCATTTTCAAACCCATTTTATAAACCCCAAACACAAAGCTACATTAAAGCTTTCTTTCAATTATATATATCACACCAATAAAAGTCTAATTAACTCCAATTAGCTCATTAAATTTAAATCTCTCTCAAATTTATCCTCATGGAATAGAATCTTTTTCTTCTCACTAGATATTCTTCTAACCCAGACATGTCAAACTCGTGACGTCGCGCAATGTATCAGGAGGGTTTTGCCATTGCCGGCCATGGGGTGGGTGCAGCTTTCACGTGACGTGTCCAGCCCATGGGCCGGCAGTTTGACACCCCTGTTCTAATCATTCATATTTTCAAATTTAATCAATAATGTTTTACAAACTTTGGGAATTATTCAAACATTATATATCTCCTGCTCACCTGCTGTGGCCCCCGAGGGCAGAGTTTGCCCTGCCAATGTTTTTTTTTTCATTGCCAACCCACTGGCACCCCAAATGAAGACAGAAGAATGAGGACGAGGCAGAGGAGGTGGTGGAAGGGGAGGCCAGTCCCAGTCAGTACAATTGTCTTATCTGCGGCAAGTCATTCCGCAGTGAGTTACTTGGAGTAAACCAGAGGCGGCAACCCAGCAGTGGAAAGCTGGTGGTGCAGAGTGTCTGTAATTACAATTATATCCTAGAGACACCTAATGCTTTAAGTGTTTAAAGAGGAAAATTAAACTCTCAAAGTTCACACAGCCTCTGCAAGAAGGGAGAAATAATGTGACATTTTCCGATTAACAGAATATACAATTTTCTTAAAAATTAATGCATCTCTAAAATCCAATCCTGTTATGGCTGTTACTCTATCCAAGCTTCGCAAGCACAGTCTGACATTAGCAATGGGGGAGAGAAGGAAGGCTTGGAATGTAAAAGGGAAATTGGTGGAGGAGCCCTGCTGGCCTGTGTCAGAAGCTCCAGCCAGCCACCATCTGGAAACCCTGCGAACTGAGGGGCCATTTCCCAAACAATATTCAAGCACCTAATTGGACATTAACAGATAACAGGGATGGCGGGGGGGAGGGGAGGGAAGTTACTTTGTATTGTTTGCATGCAAGAAGCCCAGATTCAGTTTCGCTATCTCTGTAATCACTTAAGCTTCAGTAATATATAACATATACTTTTGGCAAAAACAATGAGCCAGAAGTCTTTCTTTGCTAGATGACCAAGTGGGACAGTTGACAAATCCTTTGTACCTTGAATTGCAGTATTTTCCATTACCTAATAATTGTTCCCTTTTTGCAGTTCTTAGAGCATGAAAAAAACTGAACATGTTAAATTTCAAGTACTGTATGCTTGTTTTAAATAATTTTATTATATTTTTATCAAGCATGCACATAAAAAACAACATAAATTAACAATAAAAAGAAATCAAATAGTAAAAAGTGAATAGGGATAGAAAAGTGAATTAAAGAAAAACACAAATGTATGGAAAGAATGATTTCCAACTCTTTTAAGGATATGGAAAACACTTTTGATTCAGATTTTTGGGGGCAATATGCTGACTTTGTGAACTGCCCAGAGACTGCTGTAAAGCACTGTGGGGTGATATATAAGTGCTATTTCTATTGCTGTTGATATAATTCTAGCTCAATAATGGGCCATGTTAATGGCAGAAATATTTCCAGCCAGCAAGTCATTCTGTGTAAAAATCGGTCCCAAAGGGCACTGTAAAAAATGGATAGTTGTTTGGATAGTGCCACATTAACAGTGAATATCTTCATCCTAAGGGAGAAACCCCCATTTGCCCATATAATCTTTAGTACTAACTAAACTAGTACATTTTATTACGTGCACTGCCCAGAGTCATTTATTGAGATGGGGTGTTTACAGAAATCAAATCAAATCAATCAATCAATCAGTTAAGTGTATAACATTACTCTAAAGGGGAGGGCGGTTATAAAGAACATGATCAGAACGTGAGTTAAGATGATATTGAATTACTTACATTAACAAATAATAATCCATCCTTTACAAAATGCTCTAGATATTGTCCCATAGATATGAAAAACAATCTTTTAATGGATTAATTTCAGCTTTAATTCATAGTGCATATGAATTTGTGTTTTTCGAAACATGAATCCACTGAGTCCTTTAATGGGACCAGAGTTTCCAGTTCTTGATTCTGTCTTTGTTGTTGTAGATCAGGGGTGTCAAACTTGCAATGTCACCTGATGTGTCACGACGTATTGTGACTTTTTCCATTGCTGGCAATGGGGTGGGCGCGGTTTTGGCATGACGCATCTGGCCCGCGGGCCGGCAGTTTGACATCCCTGCTATAGATATTTTAAATTATTCCTTTAACTTTTGACAAAAAAGTAGGTTTGGATTTTGAAATGAATTCTTTAGTATTAATAGTGTATTGGGTATTTTAGAAATTGCTAAAGCATCAGATTCATGTTGAGTGGTTAAGCATGTTTTAATTGGATATATCTCCATTGTTGCATTGATAGTAAAGAAAATTATGTTTGCAGTTGCTGGAAAGATTTAAAGTAATACTAATTAAGCTCTTAAAATTATATACTTTTACCCCCATGTTCTACCCCCAATTATGCTAGTTATTCATGAGATTGCATATCAAATTTAAACTTATCACCCAACAAAGTCCAAATGTCTTACCATTAGCAAAGTTGGAAATGCTAAATTAGTCCATTAGTAATCGTACCATCTGCTAAGATTTAAATGGACCTGTACTTTCCAAGTTAGCAATTTGTGGCAGTTAATGGCAATTTTCCCCAAAAATAATTATTTTCATTAATTCATCAAACATTCATTAACAAAAACTGGTACTAAAAAGTACGCCCCGTAAGATATCTGAAACCAAAGATGTCAGCTTGCCTGCCTAGGTACCAGTAACCAATGTCCAAAACAGCAGATGAGAGCATTATTTGGCCACATTCTGACTGACTTGGGACTGATTCCAAGAGTCCAGTCATGTAGCTTTTCTGAGTCATTACCGGTAATTTTGACAAGTGGAATACGGTAGTTGTTCCCAATGGAAAATTGGCAGGCAATCAAGGGTGCCAGGCAAGGAACCACTCAGACCTCTTCTGTTATGCTCTGCATTCAGCTCCTTGGGAGAGGCCATGACGCCATCATCTTCTGCTGCCCCCAGTTGCCTCATCTGTTATTCAGCCATGTCTTTTTAGGTGCCTGATTGCCAGTTTCCCCTTGAGGCTAGCATTCATCCAGAGAACCTTGAAGAGGCTCTTCCATCTCTGATACTTCAGAATCTGAGGAGGCCATGATACTATCTGTGGTTTTGTAGCATCCTATTTAGAAACCATGAAAAAATTCCTGAGTTCTTTATAAGTCAAGGCTCAGGGAGGGGGATACTCCTGTAATTCCTGTCTTTTCTGCATTCCCCTCTCTAATATCTTGCAGGATCCATAGGAGAGACCAGATTGTGGCTCACTTGTCTGAACAGCTTTCAGAAAATTGAACATGCACCCAATATTTTGAAAACATCTCCCTGAGACCATCACATTTCAGTGCAACCTTTTAGTCTGTCACTGCTCCCCCACCTCCTGTGCAATATTTCCAGAGTCTCCCTCTCTTCCTTGCTTCCCTATAGCCATGTTATTAGCTCTATCCAACTGTGATGGTATCCAGGAAATGCCTTGGGAGACAGGGCAAAGAGATTCTGCTTAAGAAATAATCAGACAGGAGACAGCTTCGCTTGTAAATGGAAAATGGGTGAGGAAATAGGCTTAGCAGGGACCCTTCTAAGGAGAATTGTACATTCAGACTTACAAGACTCTGTTAATGTAGCTTTACTACAAAGTAGAATTAGGTTACCTGTCTGGTCTAACTGGTAAGGACACCCTTTCTGCCTCAAATTTCCCTCATTTTATTTGTGGATATAGTCCAAAAATACAGTATGTTTCAGTTTGGTGCTGGCTGTTACATAAAAATTTTGCTCATCTCTAGAAAGGAGCTGCATTTGTTCACAGAAATTAGAGCTGAGTGCAATAGGAACAGGTTACTTAAGATGTGTAGTAAAATTAGAGATAGGCTTGAGAATGAACAGGAGATGAACGAATGGGAGTGGACTAAATACAAAAACAGCCAGTGCAGGAAATATGTATTTCAAGACAGTTTGATTATACAGAGACATTGAACATCATTTCAAGAGAAAGGTGTGATGAGTATGTTAAATAGAGTTGTTGAGATCTAAAAATAGAAAGGTGAGAACCTTGAAAAAAAGACATGTGCATTGTGGAAGTTGTCCCATTTAATCCACTACCCTCTGTTTTCAACACATATCAGTACATACTGAAGAAGGAAATGGAGCCAAAACATTGTTCTGTCTTTGCATTCTCTCTAATTAACATTTGATGAGAAACTGTTATTTTGTTATTTTTCTTTGAATGCATCTTAAACAGCCCTTAGATTTCATTGCCTATCACTATAATTTTGATCTGCCTATGCATTTTCTATTATATGCTCCGTTGGGACACTCGAGAAGCTTTTTGATTTTGACCCTTATTGACATTGTTCCAGGTGAACTTTTATTCTAAATGAGAAAATCAGTGTTGCCGTTTCACTGTCATGCACAAAGAATTACCTCAGACCAGAGGGACGAACTGCTTCTACAAGT